AATATTTTATAAGGAAAAGCTTCCACGGTCGCGTAGGAATAGCACCCCTTCTGAAATGCTAAGATTTATGTGGTCGCATAGGAGAAGTACTTGCACCAAGAAAACTTATTTTGGCAAAAATATATATGAATGCATGTATTTCTCTGCATGCAAGTCATAAATTAACGATCTTTTCATATATCCATGATGATATATCAGTTCAGTTAGTCCTGTTACGAAAAACCTACTTTGGTGTATTTTGCTACTGTTATTAGCTGAAATTGAGTGGGATGGTAGTGGCTGGCTCAAAGGAAATGCAGGTCACACTGGCTTCTACAGAGTCAACTATGCTCAACAACAGTGGGATCAAATTATTAAACAACTGGAAACAGATCACAAGGTCAGTGATAGTGATGGTAACACACACAGAATCGTAATTCCAGTCAATTAATCAGCGTACCAACTATATATCTACCAGGGGACTTACCAATGTGTAAATGGGCATTGACAAAACAAATCGTGGAGGGAAGGGGTGGGGAGAGAGACTGATGAGAAAACACCCTTTATTAAATATTTCTTTTCGGTCTCTGTTTGATTGGTGTGGAATTTAAGTTTTACTCCCTTTAAAATCCCGGTTTCTGGCCAGTATCAGATTTCATCACGGTTTCTTCACATTTTTTACCCATCAGTGGAACGACCCGTCGTTCTCCATTCTTCTTTTGTTGCCGGTACTTCTCGTGGATCTAGTAAACGGAACTTCTTCTGCTTCGGATTCTTTTTAGTATCCAATTTCATTAAATCAATATTCTCACCACCTTCACTTTCAACTGCATCATCTTCGTCGCTCAAGTCTCCTGAATCTTCCGTTTGCTGTTCTTCCTCTCCCATCGGTGTTAATGGGGTATTGTAAACTGCAGTTTAAATTGCCTTTTCATTCATGCGTATATACACTCCGTGCAAGTTATGACATTCTGCGTACTTGTTTAGCTCTTTCACGGCCAGTTTCCGCAAAGTCCCTGACTGAATAAAGTTAGCCCAGTCGTAAGTGTAATTTTGTTCGCACGCTTTTGCATGCCTGTATTCCTTTTTTTCCGTTGCTGTCTATTACTTCTTATCTCACATCACCTATGCAGCCGTTCATAGTGCTTCACAGTCTTTCATTAAATTCGTAACCACTCATAATCCCTATTACTAAGTTCTCGGCTCCCGGCTTCCAGTTGAATTTGTTGGAGCTCTGCAGTTGCCCTTTGGCAAAAATGCAGTTTCTTGCCTTGTGCTCTGGAGGGGAATTCAACAATCTCCTTGGGAGAGCGATCTTCATTTGTATTTGGAGCGCTGAAGACGCCCAGGTGATAACTGACCTTACCTTGACCTATCTCGACAAGGACAGGGTGTGTATTTTATCACAGGTCCTCGCAACCGTCGGATTCGATAGTAATCACATTTGCCTTTTTATTTATTACATGATTATTCAAACTAAAGTACTCCACGTATAGTTCTCTCTTGATTGATTATGCTCTTGCATTAATAGATCCAGTTCTTTAGTTTTTTTTTTACAGTAATTGGGAAAGAAGGCTTGCTCGCTTTCTGGTACTTTTGTTACCTAGACTTTAATTGTTGAAACGAAAATAAAAATGTGTGTTTTTCGTTCATAAGTTACATGCAAATGTAAACTATAATGTCAACCGAATTTTCTTGGCAGGTATTTTCGGTGAAAGATAGAGCAGGGTTGATTGACGATGCTTTCAATCTCGCCAGGTAATCTATATTTAATTTACTATCTCTCTGGTGTTCTGTCGACCTGTGGTGTGTTCTGGGGCCCGTTTCTCGAAAGGCCCGGTAACTTTACGGGCCCGAAATCAAATATTCAAATAGAAATAAAAAGAATAAGAGCGCGGGTTCTGGCTAAAAAACTACTCTATTTTGTTTCATTAACTGATGGTTTTATCATGTTAGATGCAAAACTACTGAAACCCCGGTCTTTAATGTAAACGGCAACAGCTTACCGGGCCCGTTAATTATCGGGACTTTCGAGAAACGGGCCCCTGGGCAACCAAATTTCAATAGAGCTGTTTATTCAAATTTCGAATTTTTGCAAAACTTGATGTTCAATAATGGGGTTTTATTTATTAAGTTAAGATGATCAATATCGTTTGGCAATAACTTTAACTTTTCTTAATGGATGACCCTATTTGACTGTGTACTTTCTTGACGGTCAAGAATTAACGCAGTTGAAATCCAAGATGGCGGTCATTTGGAATCATGACGTAATTTCATCTTCGTATGATGTCATGAATTCACGTGGTGATATTAGCCTAGCTTAAACAACTGAGAAGGTTTCATATGTTATTAGCTCATTTTAGCAAAATCTATAGAGTTTACTCTCATATAATCGGCTAGTACACACCGCCACTACTACCAGATGCAGTCTGTCAGTACTTCATTTAGTAATTATTAACTTGACGTTTTACCTCCTTCGCTCCAGAGGTGGATACCTTAAGTATTCTGTAGCGTTGGGAATCACTAAATATTTGAAAAATGAGGATGAATATGTACCTTGGGCAGCTCTCGACAACAACATAAAGTTTGTTTCAAGGATTTTACCTCAGTCAAGTCCGGCTTTTAAGTACTTAAAGGTACGTTTAACGAGTTTCTTTTGTTTTTTGTTTCTAAAGAAACCCCAAGGTTAAAAATGACAATTGCTAAATAGATCAGTTGATTTTATTCCTTGCCGGATGGATAATGAACAATGACAATGAAATTTTCAAATAACCAAGTTAAAGATTACAGCTCACTCTGGGCAGTTTTGGTGTACTATGAAGGCATATAATATGTTCGTTTGGCTGTAATGAAGTATCGCTTCATTAATGAATGCAGGACTGACTGTCATTTACTATTACGGATGTTTATCATTAATTTTGAGCATCAAAATATCATGTCACAAATGTTATACAGAATATCAAATAGACACCATATGATAAAGTTAATACTAATTAAACTATTAATTAAAAAGTAAATGAGGCAGTCCGAATGGAATATAATGCCTAAAAATTGTACATTTTTTAGAGATACCTTCAGTCTCAAGCAAGGACCCAGTATGCAAAACTTGGTTTTAAAGACAGCGGAAGTCATCTTGATGTGTAAGTTGTTGGTTGTAGCACTATACGTGTCTAAAACAGGAACGTTATTGGTCGAGGCGACAAGAGACATATTTTATTAAGTTTTCTACGGCTCTCGGCTCAGACGCTTCTCATCATCATAGCAGCTAACTTGATGTTGCCAGATCATGATCCACCCTAACTTTAGCTGAAAGCTGAATTTTTATCTTTAGCTAAACCGGGAAGAGAATTTTTTAAAATTAAAATCGTTTTGTTTTGCAGGTACAAAAGAAGCTTAATACTAAGCGTGATGTGCAGTGCGGGAGAAGCGTCATGTCTTAAGAATGCATCTGATTATTTCAACAAGTGGATGGAAGATCCCGTTCAGTATCCGTAAGTGCAGGCGTTCCTTGATCCAGGAATTTAAAGCGGTTCTTTAATAGTGCAGCTTTAGATATATGCGACGCTTATCCACTCCCATGCAACGTTTCTATGCTACATGTTGTTGTCTTTGTGTATTCCAATTATCTGCAACAGTGGAAAACTTAGAATTTCCTTTTTTTTAAAATTGGCTTAAGCTGTTGCTGGATGTACGCTACCAAATCAGTTTTGGGCCTGTTCCCTTACGGAGCAACTAAAATCTTTGAACTTTACGAGATTAAATCCTCTAGTGGCTTTGTCAGTTTTTAAGTTTTTGCAGATAAGAGTTTCATCTGCCAACTTTCATGGTATTATGGGTAAAGTGTGTTACCTGTTAGATATTTATGTGGGAAACTGTTATGTGATAACTATTTAATAGCTGACACCTTGAGGAGTTAATAACACTGTTCGCAAATATAAAAAAATGTTAGTGTTGCGAAGACACGCTCTTTTTTAAATCCCCAAAGTCGAGTCTGTGCTTGTAGCGTCGCGGGGTCAAATTTTTCCTCATTTTGCCTGCTAAAAATTATCCCTTGAACGTGTCTCCCCCAAAATGGACAACATGACCTTTTATCTTTCTCATCTTTAATCCTAATAGCTAATAGCTTTTCTTCCCAATAGTGACCAAAATCAAACTTCCATAAAATTTTCAAATTTTATTTTGTAAAATGCTGGAAACAATTAGAATCATGTGAGAGGGATGCCAAAGAGGTTGTTTTTGAATGATCCACAGAACGGAACTTTTCCGTCCACAAACTGAAAAGAAAGTTAAAACCAACCACCTTACAATTACAAGACTCCATCATTCACTCTTGGAGTTGATATTTTGTTGTTGTTGGTTTTTTTTTTTTTGCAGCGTGCCAGCAAACCTACGCTCTCTGGTGTACTTTTATGGTGTAAGAAATGGTGGAGTCAAGGAGTGGAATTTTCTCTTTGAACAGTTTCAAAAGTCATCTGTTGCAAGCGAAAGACAGCAGTTTCTTTTTGGTTTGGCTGGTGCAAGTGAACCCTGGCTCTTAAACAGGTGCAGTACTTGCGTCGAAAGGAAAATGAAGCGTGGATTCCGCTGGCATCAAGAAAAATGATTTTTTTGACAAAACAGATCGCGCGTATTTTCTGCTTCATTGTATATAGCATGCCGCTGACCACAGTTACCCCTTTTTTGCAAACTCTCTTTTGACTAGAAAAAAATAAATTGGTATAAAATGACTAGCAACGACTAGAGCGCAATAAACTATCCTTGTTTGCGAATTGATTGATACAGTATTTTGTATCTGATCTTCAGATCTATCGCTTTTCTTACTTACGGACATTACGGACAGGATATGACTGCATAGTGTTACAGGGTTCTTCGTTTTGCGATAGAGGACGTTTGAATTCTAGGCTTTTGCGTGAAGCGGCATTTAGCTGGCGGCCGGGAACTAAGGCTCTTACGTGGGTTAAAAACATTACCAATTTTGGGAGATTTTGCTATCTAAACATTCCTTGTCTGAGAATAAATATCACTTTAATCCTTTATGAGTTTTTCAAGCGACGAATTCACGCATTAGTAGGAAAACTCAAAAACAGATGTTTCTGTTGGTTTCCAGCGGCCATATTTGTGCCCCTCAAAGGGACACAAACACAAAGCTTTAAAATTTGGGTAAAACGTTTTTCCGAGTATCTTGCATATGAAATATCGCACAGACCTGATTCTTGGCGAGGCCCTTTGAATATTTATCTTCTTTTATTTCCTAGATTCTTGACTTTCTGTATTGAATGGTTTGCAATTAAATTTTTGATTGCGTGACAGTGAAAACCCCCAATATTATCATTTTTCTTGTGAACGAGTTGAGTTAATTCCGCGAGTTTTCTTCCTAGGTACTTGGAATATTCCGTGCGTCCAAAGAAGATCAGAACACAAGACACTCGTTCTGTAATTTTAAACGTCGCCTCCCACAATCCTTATGGCCGGCAGTTGACGTGGCAGTTTATCAAACTTAACTGGGACTTTATCATGGAAAAGTTAGTACTTTTGAATTTACGTTTGTTGGTCAGTAGTTAAATAATGAAAAAGGTCATTTGCTTCTCCCGAGAACCTATTTTCAGCCTGTTTTTAATTTTGAGCAGACGCGTACAGTTACCATATTTGGAGTGCATGATATAGTAGGTCATATACCATGATGGCTAAGCCAATCAGAGCTCTTGAATTGCATTATCCAATGATTCAGTTTTTGATAACAACAGTTATATGACCCTTAACATTCTCGAACAGAAAGCGATAAATCGTAGGGGCTGAGACTTAACGACGCTAGCCAGTGTTACAAACGGTTTTTTTAAAATTTTTCTTTCATGTTAGGTTTACAGACACTCATTTCAAATTTCTTTGGTAGTTTTCTTGATGAATCCTTTAATGAGTTCTTATTGCGGTAGTGTTCTTTTTTTTTCCAACAAATATATTACTCAATGTTTATTTCCGTGTGGAATTCGTTTTGATTACCAGATTTGGTGGAGGATTTTACACAATATCTAAGATAATTCTTGGAGTTACAGAAGGATTTGCTACTGAATACCAACTCGAAGACGTAAGTAAAAATAACTGTTAACTGCTAACAACAATTACATTTTTCTTGAGCGTCAGTCGATGAGGAAACTGACGGCCAACATTATTTTAAAGTGGCTTTTACTACGCAACAAAACCAAAAGACAAAGTCGCCTCCTATGTCAACACAATTGTCCTTGGAACAAAAATGGCATGAAATTTTCGTTAACCTGGGTCATGAATGTCTTTTTTAAATCGTGTTGTATTGCTATGGCAGATTTTATGTAAAATAAGTATTGAGTGTTTTTTTTTTTAAGCTCGACTCCTTGAGAATATTGTGATGGCCTTAAGTGGTCACTAATAACTGATGCTTTCTTTCTTCTTTTGGTAGTTAATAAGCTTTAACAAGAATCATCCCGCTGGTTCAGGAGAGCGGGCTCAACAACAGGCCGAAGAAACAGTTAAGGCGAACATTCAATGGCGTCAAGACCACGAGCAAGATATTGGCAACTGGCTAAAGGACTTCCTTCAAGCCAATAATATACCGTATAACTAGGACGACTGTTCCCAAATCAATTCAGAGTCTGTTCATTTCATGTACTGTTGATAATGTTCATGGGACACTTTCGATATAGAGCGAGTCTTAGAGGACAGAAACAAAGAAAACAAATAAACATGTTTATTCATAATTGTTTATTCATTTTTTTTTTGTTTAGGTTCTCTAAGACTCACCATCATGCTGAATTTAAATATATCGAAAGTGACCTATCACAATATCCCCTATCTCATTTTACGTAAGACGAATAACTTTCACCACCAAACCTCTTTTTTTGTAATTATCGTTTTATACTCATGCAGAAAGAGAGGAAATGCGAAGAATTTTGCTCTCATAAAAGGCCTAATGGGGAGTGAATTTTCTCGTCTGACGTAAAAAGGTATTGTTATACAGCTAGAATTTTTCCTCAACAATGCACATGCTTATTGGTTACTTAGAGGTCACGTGACACCTAACAAATAACCCGGGAACCTTTTCGGACACTCGTTTGCGTCTATGCTCCCTTTTCCAACCAAAAGTCAAAGATAGCTTTAAAAAGAAACAAGCTAATATTAAAAGGACGTTCCTTTTTATTGTTTGCAAATTAAACAGTGAAAAACAGGTTAAGCCTACCTAACAAGCTTGTAGGTTTAATAACAAAATCCTAGAGTCTCTTAGGTTTTTAAATGAATGAGCTTTTAAATGGGAAATACTTTTAAAAGGTTGTGTCTGATGTTCTGTCCTAATTCGAGAGATTAACTGTAGTCAGTTAGCAAAGTCTTACTAAGATACTTATGCTTGATACACATTTCTAGAGTCGTTGGAATTGATTTCGACCCAATGTGGCAGTCAGTGCAGCTTCTTCGCTTCCCAGATTCACCGAGGAACAATTATCTCTTGCCACACTGGTTAATTGTTAACTGAAAGCTGAAATATTGAGCAGGACTTGAAGAGTATTTCGTAAAATACTTCTAAATGGAGCACAAATGAATTTTCGAATTTCCTTTTCAACTAAGGATTTCTATATATATATAATTACATGGTTTTATTAGCTTTTCAACGCCTGATTACCTTTGTTGAGTGACCGACTTGTTTTCAAATAATATTACATTAGAACCAAAACAATAAATCATGATTTAATGGAAACATCATAGGGTATCGTTTTCTGAATGCTTAGTACCTAGGCAAAATTTCATTCGAAATTGTCACTTTTTTCTAAGCATTCACAGTTTTCATTAGACTCCGGATTCGTCAATCACAGTCCTTTATTAGACAGAAACGTTTCTAACCAGTTTTCCAGGTCTTTTTCATTCCTTTTAATCCAGGCTATGTTAGATTTTACCACCTCGACTGCTTGAGACAAAGACTGGTTACTCAAACCAGATCCATTATCCAGTTCTTTGACAAAACTCAGGAGCTGAAAAAAATTACACGCACAAAGCTTTATTTTTCTTATGTTACAGAGATTTAGGCTATCAAGTCTACAGCAAACAAATCGACAACAATTTTCCATGGTCTGTATTCTTGAGTTTTGAACCTTTCACACCGGTCATTTCTATGGTCGATAAGAGTACAGACCATAAAATTTTTTTCTCGATTTGTTTTTTAACATAACATTGAAAGTTTTGACGTACACTTCCGTTGAATTTTGTCAGAAAATCGCGCGCGAGAGAAAGAGAAAAACACAAATTCGCCATCATCACGTCATTTCCGCGGCACTCTAATCGACCACGGCTCTCGACCAATCAGCGCGCGAGAAATCCCTCAGTAAAACGTCATTTTGTACCAAGTGAAAAAGTTGTCCCTTTACTTGTCGTTTACTGTTCATTTTTTCCACAAAAATATTAGTAGTTTCACGCCAGTTTCATCGTTATGAATTTAATATTTTGTACCGTTTTATCTGCTCTTTTTTTATTTCTTATTTCTTATGACGTTTGCCTTTTCTCATAAACGTGATTCTAAAGCTGATCATTATTTGAACAAAACGATTTCAGGAACTCGATACATCATATATTTGGAGTTAATAACTCAGTTTTGGACTCGTTGTATGTGTGTAAAAGTAACTGTCAATAAATGGCTTATGAAAAGCAACCCATCGAGCTCCTAAAGGAAGAGCAGTGCAGAAGATGCTTCAGTTCAGTTCAGTTTCAGTTTATTTCACCGCAAAAAACAAAGGAAAAAAATTGATTCCACAGAAAGGAAGGTGAAAATTATTCGGTGAAAATCTGCACCGAATTTTTACTGGAATTTGACTGAGTATATTCATCATGAAAAAGTCTCATCTGTTTACCAAACTATTAACTGACCTGCTGAAGTTGAAAGTCATTTGCAACACCACGAGTAACAGATTCTAGTATGCCAGATAGAATATATAAACCATCTTCATACCTACAATCAAACGAGAAGAAAGGTTACACACCAGAACGTCTATCCCCCTTGCAGGTGAAAAGCAATTGCAAAAAAGGAAGAATGCCTTGAAGCATTAAAATCGGACGTCCAAAACTGGTCCCTACTGTGATTCAGTCATTGTGTGGCGGAAAGTTTCAGATTTGTTTCGAACTTAACAAATCTTTTTACGGTGACCAATTTACTTCACCGACTTAGTTGATAAATCAAATTTGTGGTTATATATTTTAGATGCAGACTTTTAAATGCAGCAAATTTCCATGTTATGGACCAAACACAGCAGAAAAATCCTATCACTAGAACAAACAGAGAAAAGTACTAGTGGCCAGAGAATACTCAACCGTTTTTCTAGTATATTCCAGTGTTTTAGTATGAAGTCCCAAGCTATCTGTCTTCCAACATGGCTATTCTCTGCAACTTTACCAATCACCAACGGAGCGTTTGATGACTTGATTTTTTTGGAGTTCAGAGAAAATTGAAGGAACCTGAAACGATTAAGACATGATGTTTTTGCAGTTCACTTATCCAGGCAATCTTTTAACATTTTAACAGTTGCCTTTGTCTGACAAGACGGTAAATCAACAATGATTGATAACGCACAATTTCTTCCACTGTGTTATGTTAGCAGTCACTGCTAAAGAACTGGCTCTATTCTTACTAAAACTATTTTGCGGAGGGTCGTCGTTAAAAATCGTCTTGAGGGGAAGGTTTCACTGATGCCTATATAATGTGGAATAACTTCACCGCTGAAGCGTTTAAGGGAAGTAACTGCTCAAGGAGTTTAAGACCTCGGTCAAAGGTGTGTTCGGAGTATATGATTGATTGGCAATATTTCTCTCTAGAATTTTTCCCCAAAAATAAATCTTGAGGTCTTCTTGTGCCTTTTTACCAAAAATTGAAAATGACAGAAATTGGCGAATCAGTGGCGAAATAAATTGGTGTTTCTGATAGAGGGTAAACATACATTTCTCTCCACGTTTGGAACGAAGGTACGCGAAGTTTAAAATTAAAATTTTAAATAATTCAAGATTATATTTGGGCATTTAAAATGATGTTTTGCCTTACAGTTTTTTTAGTGAAGCGCAATGGACTGTCATTCCAAACGTGAAGTGCTAGAACTAAATGAATGAGAAAAATGTTATTGCTTGATTTTTTTTTTCAAACCCCCACTAATTCGTCAGTTATTTACGATTTTAAGAAAATGGTCACGTGACATACCACGTGACTTATTAACACAATATTTATAATTTAAGGACGATAAGGTCTTTGTATGGCAATATTTTTCTCAGTTCCAAATTCTGTGCCGAAGATATAGCCAGTAACTCATTTTCCACAGGTAAACCCATTAGACCCAGGCCTTAAACTACTGGACTGACAAACCTTGGCTGTGAATAAGAATTAGCAAATCTGACAGATTAGACCTGAACGGCTGACTGACTGTCTGACTAACCTGCTGACTGTCTGCCTGACTAACTGACTGACTGGATGACTGGCTGACCGACCTGCTGACTGTCTGTCTGACTGACTGACTGACTGACTAGCTGAGTAGACTGACTGACTAACTGACCGTCTGTCTGACTGACTGGCCTACTAGACTGACTGACTGACTCACTGACTAACTTGCTGACTGGCTGCCTGGACCGACCTGTTGATTGACTGACTGACTAACTGATTGACTGACTGACCGACCTGCTGACTGACTGACTGACAGACTGGCTGACTAGACCGACCTGTTGACTGACTGAATAACTGAATGGCTTACTGACTGACCTACTGACTAACTGACTGACTTACTAACTGACTGATTTACTGACCTTCTCACTGACTGTTACTGACTAGGTAAAATAAACACAGTTGACAAACCAAACGACTCTTACCTAATATTTTAATTTATTAGATTTACCTGCTCAAAATCCAAGGCTCACTAGAAGCAGCTAAACCATGTATCAACTTAGCGCTCTCTGAAGCTACAGATGTGTGAAGCAACTGATCAAAAGCAAAATCCCACTCTTCACGGCCGCCTTTAGCAATTCCATAATAATACACCAGTGATCGGAAATTAGCTGGCACTCTAAAAATTAAAATATAACTTTTCTTTACCCTTGAAGCCGACGTGACTTGGTGTTGAAACCGGGGGGGTTACTCTTGAGAATTCTTGGTGGGGGTGTGTTGCCTAGTTCTCTAAACCCTGACTCTACTTCAGACCAAAAATGTCATTATTCACGCCCACTTTCAGACCTGGCCTAGCTCTAAAATCCATACCCGTTTTTAGGCCTGGCCTCTAAGAAATTATGTCATCATTCGGTTAGATTAGAACGCTAACAGAAAAGATTTCTTAAAATTCATTTCGAATTCGCATGTTTCTCTTTCTCTATTCATTTGGAATTGAAACGATAAATACGTTCATACACTCCCGTATTTCCCTCGAAAAACATACCCGTTTTCAGACCAAAACAGCGCAAAAACCATACCCTTTGGGACGGCACATACCTAACTATAGGACTTATAAAAGGGAGTATCCCCAAGTTTTGAAACCAGCAGCTACAACAGAAGGCGCAGCTGGTGTTTTCCAGAATTTTCTAGATCTTTTACTTAAGAATCACGCCACAACAACTTAACGGTTAGAACAGTATAAAAAACAAATCAACTCACTGGTTCTTTACTGGATCTCTCATCCATCTATGAAAGTATTCAGAGGCATTTGACAGGCACGTTTGTTCTCCCGTGGCGCAAACAGTTTCCAAGATTTCTGGACGCAGGAAACTGAAAGAGGAAGTGAATATTCTTGAAGCCAACAAAATCTGCATCTAAGAAGGAAGATGCAGATTCTGGTCGTTCCTTAACGTTCTTTTTATCCCGCTATTTGGGTCTTCCAGAAAAACAGGGCATGCACCTGAAAGGAAACCATCTACAACCCTCCACAGTTCCAGCAATTAGCTGCTTTATTATGTTCACAAAAAAAATATCAGTTTTCAAAATCTGAGGTGCGTTGAAAAAACAATAATTTCTCAAATGAGTTAATAACGAAAAGTGGACACTTTTGAAAAGATTAAAAACTGTCACTTCGAAGTTCAGCTCTTAACAGCGATGGCTTGAACACTACCCAAATTTTCTTCCTTTTTTAGCTTGTCAGGCCTCTAAAGTTAGACTACAGTCATCGTCAAAAGTGTTGGGAAGGTTGTCTTTTTTACCTCTTCTTTTCATTTCTCCCCCCACCCCTGGCCCAATGTTGATCAAGACGTTAATGTTTGTGCGGGTTATTGTTTTGTTATCTCCCAACATTGAATAAGGGGAGACGGGGGTTCAAAAGAGAAAACTCTCTTTTTTGAGGATTTAAATGCACTACTGTTAAGTTGTACAGGTTAATGAAACCAAACGGTAATTAATGTTCACTGTGGAGGTACATTTCAGTAACTCTTAAAAGACTAGATGAAACATGGTTTTGTATAATGGTCCATTTTCAAACATAATGTAGCGCTTGCTACCAGTGAGCCCTGATGATTCAAAGAAGAAGTGTAACATGTAAGTCCTTGTTACATGTAAAAACGTCAAATGATAAACAAACTTACGTCTCAAGGTGAGAACCTCCGTCTGTAAATCCAAGTCGCTTGTAAATAGGCTGCGCTTGATAAAGCAGGTATTTCTGTTTGTGAAATAAAACAGTTACAAATGAGTTATTAACTAAATATGGAATTTATTAGGAAATTGAGTAATTTTAATTTTCAGTGGACTAAAACCCTGTACCGGAATAATTTAAACAATATCGTATTCATTTTTATATTTTTCAAGGGCTATAGATATAATTAGTTATCTGTAATAACGCTAAAGACGATTTCTCTAATCAAATGATTAGGTAAATAAAAGTGAAAATAGCCTTCATACAGTTCTTTGTCGAGTGAATTAGCATGACTGACTTATGGGATGCAATATACTTCGTTGATGAAAAGAGATTAAACTGATTGAAAAGGCTACTGAGGAGCAATGAAGACATTAAATTGATCATGACGCGGAAGCTGATAAAAAAAGATGATTATGACGAAGACAATAATGATGATGATGATGATGATAGCTCTAACAATATTTCAGCTTTTTTTAATAAAGCTTGGGTGCCCAATACAATATGCCAGAAACGATTACAACGGTTTACTAGTGAGGAATAACTGTTGCATAAATAAAGTAAATCACCCAGTCTGTTGAATGAGTGCAGAAAAAGGCTATGCACACCTGCAGATATTTGTAGGCGGGTCTGGTAGGTGTTAACATGCTTCTGATGAAGTTAAAGCTCTTGATGGCGGCCTCCCACGGAACATATTCTTGTTCAGCTTGTAAATATGACGTCAATTCCAGTGCCTTGGTGTAATTTAGTTTACCACTCCTACAATACAAAAACGATTTGGGAATTGACTGATATCACCTTTTGAAGTGCCAGATGGTTATACCCAACCGAGTAGACCTTACCTTGCTAGTTCAAACGCATCATCAATAACACCAGCACGGTCCGAGATATTTAACACCTAGGGATATCAATGAATGAAAAACAATTCAAAACAATCATCACATCGCGTAAATGTCATGACAAAAGATAGAAGCTGATATCATCCCTTTAGAACGAATAGTTGAATCAGCTTCGAAACGACCCCTCCAAAAATTTCCTTAACCTGCGTAGTAGGCGCCTTTTTGGGGCGGTGGGGGAGTGGAAGCGCGAAAGGAGAAATATCAAGGAAATGCGCGCGCTTTTTCGTTCTTCGCCCTGTAAAAGTACAATAACGGGCGCCTTCTACGGAGGCTCTATTTCGTTAGTATGGAAAATGTTGATACACAACTAACCACGCTTTGTAAAACCTAAGGTGAACTGCCAATAATCGCAAAATATCGAACCTAGATAATTCAGTGATCCTTGCAAAGTTTACACAATTTATCGAGCCTGTAGTCGACCCAAAATAACTTAGAGTATTAAGATGTAGCAAGAACTTAAGGCCTACATTCAATTTCACTTAGAAACTGTTGATTCATTGCTTTTGGAACCATAATTTACATAAGCTTTCCAAGCTAACATGCTTTACCTTGTGGTTAGTCGTAAAAGCACTGGCCAACGCATCCCAGTTTTCGTCATCATAGTTCACCCGGTAAAACCCCTTTTGTCCCACGTTCCCTTTGATCCATCCGTTTCCATTCCATGTTATTTTCTCTGAAGTATAAATAAAAGTCCAAATCATTCTGTCGTTGATAGTGGAAGTGCACTTGGCTTCTCTGGCTAACTTAAATTAAAGTCACTCCATTAAAATAACGATAATCAAATAACTTGAGGAAATACAACAGGATTAAATCCCCAACCGGGTAGGAGAAAAACAGTTACGGCCTCCCACAAAGACTAAGAGAGTCAGCACGGAGGTTTGCAACCAGTTAGCCCTTTGCCATCATGAACCAGGAGTTGAACTTGGGACGGAAACCTTTGCCCGGACGTCCAAGTTGTGCAGCGTCCCAGTAGCAAGTCCCAGACAAATAGCCCCCGATTGAGCAAGTCTTTCATTCTAGAAGATTTGGCTTTCCGTTAAAACGAGGTTAACCACATTGAAAATAACCAATCTAAGACAAAGACTGCCAAAGGCATTTAGGTTATAGGATCTGCGCGAGTCAAGGTTGATTTTAATTATCGAACCATTCATATGAAGAAACAGTAAGAAAAACAATCCAGCTTTTTTGCAAGCAGGATAGGTCATCATCGTTTAGAATGTGCGGAATAGATTGTTTTCACCCACATAACCAAAGGCTATGTAAATTTCTTAAAACAAAAGAAAGTTTTAAAAGAATTCAATCCCCAAAGCATTTTCTCTGAACACCAACATGGCCGCCGTTTCATTGTTTTGTACACCGATATGGCCGCCGTGACGTCATGTGAAAAAGTTCCATAGACGAACAATTGAAAATGTTCTGTCTTTCTCCCCGAGATTTCTTCGTCTTGTCGTGAGTTCTTTCAAAGTTTGTGACTTTCTCTTTCATTTACAAGTCAACTAGAAATAGATCTTCCTAATACTTAAAAGAAGCTCTAGCTGGAAAAGCCGACAGAAAGGTATCTTCTAGAACAAGATGATTCCACTTACCCAATGTCATATTAATTTCTTTGGAAATAATTTTGTCTGGCGAGGACGATGTAATGTAGGTGAATGGTACAAACCATTTGTAACTGCAAGAAAACATAACACTGTAAGTAAAACAGTAGCATATTAGGAGCAGTTCCATCTGTGACAGTGACTTATGGGGAAAATTTACCGTGTACTATAAACATTCTCATCGGCCCCTGTATGTGCTATGTATATATGGTCATCACCTTGACTGTTTGGTCATAGTTCTTAGCTATAGGACTCCGTGCACACTCCACCGAGCTTACATGTCGAACTGAAAAAATTTTCAAGTGTAAATCAAAACATTAAAGAGTACCCACCCCTACTTTGATAAAATACGCCGTTACATTGAGTACCCTTTTGCTAGCCTGCGTCGAAGACCGTCTAAATCCCTGATATCGACAGTCGGACTGATTGAGATCTCTATCTGGGTCTCGAGTGACAAATCCGGCAGTAACACAGGCTATCTTTGCTGACATACAGGGTTTTCCCTGCCAATATTTTTCTTTACGTTACAGACCGTAAGGTAATCGTAACGAAATTTCAAGTAAAATCAACAATACTTTCTTTAGCTAAATGGGGAGGGCAAGGGAGATCTATTTATTCCTTTTATACTTACTCAAATGGTGACTGATATTTGGAAGTTGTGTTGGTATCAGTGTAGTAAAGAAACCTCTCCTGGGAGACTAAGTACTGGTCACCAATGGAATGTCGGACTTCGACCACTGGGTAGCCCATCTGAAGAGTCCACGTGTCCATCATGTGCTTGACATCCACGCATCCATCCTGGACACAGCTTTCCTATACGCACAAAGTGTAATTATTTCGAATGGAGTATGTTCCAGTCAAGGCAATGATATCTATTTCAAGCTTCAAAGAAGTGAAAATGATATGATTGTTATTTTGTGTTCTTTTTTGACATTAGGCCGGGGGACAAATTTTCTAGTCGACAATTTGTTCTTAACCCCTACCAGAGGCGCTGACGTTTGGCCATTAGTTTTCAATACCAGTTCCTTAGCTGCCATTATACTTGGACCACCTGGCCAAAGATGTCATGCATCCTTGGTTTTTACGAGAAAAACGTTATTTAAAGTTTATGCGCGAAACGCTCCAGGCCAACATACTTACCTCTCTCAAGGCTTGCCACAAGTCTTGTGTGTTTGCGTTGGCGAACTCGAACCTCTTGAGGTAGCGCTGAAAAAATCAAACATGGAACAAAACCATATTGAACACGCAGTACCATTTCGAATCCCCTTGATATGTCTTACTGCAAGAATTATTGGCATGACTTCACTGAGTATTAGTTGTCTCGTGGGGCATAAATAATGTGGGAAAGAAACTGTCGATTACAAGGCTGTAAAAAAAAACAAACAAACAAATAAAACACCCTTTTGAATTTGCCAATGTATTTTATTTTCAGTAGAACGAAGAACCAACTGAGGATACTGTTTAACGTCTCCTGCTGGAAGCGGGACCTTCATTATTTAAGTTGTCATCCTGGCAAGTAAAGGTCAAGCCTTTTATTAGGCACGGGCAGTGCATTGAAACTTACTCTGCATGATAAGCGCCTCGGTTGTACGACCAAATCAGGTTATAACCCTTACGCGAAAATGATTTAGCCCAAACTTTAAAATACAAGCAGAGATTTCTCTCTTGCATGGCTTTTAGCGTTTACGAAGTCGTTCGCTTAGCTTATCAGTCACGTAGCGGGTTTGTTTTGTGAAACCAGCGACGTGAACGACTTCGTAAACGCTAATAGCCATGCAAAAGATAAACTAGTTGCTCACAGGGTATAAAACACCTCAATCTAAGAAATCAGAGCTGCGACCTTTAGGTTTGAATGAAGGGCTTTCTATGAACTGAGCTACATAATCCTGCATGAAGGAAGCCCTTATTTAAAATATATCGCCGCTCGAACATTACTTTACACCAACGTTCCTTATCCCTCCCTTGGTTTATACCCTACAGTACTTCCTTTTTTGATCATCATTACGATCTTATACGTATTTTAATTAAGTTATTTTCTCACCACTAATCCTTTCCTGAAAGTCTCTTTACCAAGATAAGCCTCTAACATTCGCAGAATACATGCACCCTAAAAGATAGACATGAAAAAAGGACGGAAACAGCAAAAATTTATTTCAGTAACGTTTGCACTTGAGCTTCAAAGTTTAGTATTTGAAATATTAACGTTCAGTATTTAAAGTTAATCGAACTAATCTGTTTGACTCTTTTTTATGCTCGGGACATCGGCTGTTACTTTGTGGCTTGTACTATCCGCCCAAACACAAGGACGATGAGCTTGACGTCATCAATTACATAGTGGGTTTGGCTGACAATGCGCTTGACACTCATCCCGACACAGTATTTGTATGCAGCAGCGACGTGAATAAACTCGATCTCAGTAAAATGCAGCTTTTGTCGGGTCTCAATGCGCTTGTTGACTTCCCAACTCGGGGAACTGCTGTTTGGACAATGTGTTCAAGAATCGTTAAGACCTTTTTGGAAAATGTTACCCTTTTAATATGCTAATTAAAACTGACTATTTAGCGGTTATTGTTCCTCCGGGATTAAAGTTAAAACCAATCCACAGTAAAATATCTATCTGCGAACGTCCTGAACACCGGAAAATTTCGTTAGAAGAACTGGGAGGAAGTCCTTACGGATGTGAACGAGGCTGTAACCAAACTTAAGTTAATTATTCATGGCTACATGGATAACTGCAATCCTCTGAGAAACGTCACTTTGTCTTCACGAGACCCACCGTGGATGTCGCCTCTCGTAAAATCGCGATCGCTCCTCAAACCTAAGGCCAGGATCTCCAGCTCGAATAGTGATCGCTTGCGACACTTGAACGAAAGTATTTTTCACTTAATCAGTGGGAACAGGAGGCGCCTGCTTACTGCCCCACTTGGTAGTTGTAGCTGGTGGAAAGAGGTTGACTCTGACACAACGACGCCGCACTAGTAAAACTCACAGTATCGCGGGTCTTGATGACGAAAGTTTGGCGCAGTTAAATGATTATTTTGGAAGACTCTTTACGGATGATACCTACGTCAACGCCTCACCTATTGCCATTGGTAGCAATATAAATATTCCTGAGATAACCGAGCATGAATTCTGGAACGTTCTCAGCAAAATAAACAGGGGCACCCAACGGGAATATAGTTCAAAACCACTTAAACATTGCATTTTTAAACGTGTTTTAGTATTTAAACGGTAGATAAAGGCATATTTTTATCCCCTAAAAATTTTTCATCTGTTCGGATTTCCTAGCTGAAAGTCTAGTGATCCGAAAATTATAGGGATCAAAACTTACCTTTTCGAAAATTTCAGCCAGAAAAAAGGCTCCCGAAAATTCTAAAAAAAAATTCTTTTTAGGGTAAAAATCGGTTAAAAATAGGCAATTATACCATTTTTTAGATGTTTGAAATCCTAGAAGAGGCAGGCAAGCAAGAAGTTTTGCAACAAATGTTCCGAAAATTCTAGATCTCAAATCGTCTTCCGAACAGATATTTTTCCGAAAATTGTCGTTGGGTGCCCCTGAAATAAAGCGAGCCGCTATCGTCCAGATCTCATTCCATTCTGGATTTGCAAGGAACACAGCGAAAATACTCACACCTATCATCACAAGGATTTGGAATCTTTTTATCTCCACGCAGTCGTGGTCTCGGTCCTGGAAAAAGGCTAACATCAACCCTTTACCCAAAGTTGAAATTCCTCAAGAGAACGGTGAATATCGAGGAATAAATGTCCCATTGGTCATGACACGCGCTTTCGAGAAAGTCGTTTACGGGAGTCACGCTAAGAACTGACATAGTCGAAAATCACCTTAGCCCAAGACAATTTGCTTACAGGAGGGTAGAAATTACACAGGAGCGTCATTGGCCATCCAACACACAATTCAGAGGTATTTGGACAACCCAGACTGTTAATAACTGAGAAAGGTTTGAACCGAGGAGTCATTTAAAAAGTAGGGTGAGTATGATCGTCCGGGTAAACGTTTGAATAGGACTGTGTAGCTGTCCGTCTCTACGCTAAGGACTTTATAGTAAAGCGTTTGAAAAACCTATCAGCTGCAAAATTAAAGAAGCTTCTAAAAGACTGCAACGGAGAGTGGTATACACAACACTTTTAAGGGGTCATGGAGAACGGTTAATAAGGGCATCTGTCAGGTTAGTGTTAGCGGCCCTTACCTTTTTTTAAATATCTTTCTCAATGATTTAGATATCTCACAGGATGACTTTACTACTTTATATAAATATGCGGATGATTTAACTATATGTGCCCCAGTTCTGCGAGGTGAAGACTGGCCCTTAGATCTGGTCGGGACCAGGTCCAAGGAGTGGTGGAAACTGAGTGTATCTTGTTGATTTTGTCGTTTACAAATAACTTTTCGATAACTTTAGGTTCCATAGCCTTAAGGAATCGCAATTGGCAATATTATCAACAAGACAGCCGTGATTCCGCCGCCCCTTTACGATTTCTCCTAGTCCTCAGGAGGGAACGAATATTATTAATAAAGTAAAGAGTTTCGCCACGGAGTCAGGCGAGATACGTATTTCTAGTAAGGGAATTATTAGACCACTGAGTTTGTCCCATCGTAAGAAAAAAATGCGGAGGTAAGTAGATACATATAATCGTTTTGGATATACCTTTTCATAGGTGATGGCGTCAAAGATCTGGCTGATTTCCTCTGGTCGTTCTATAGGGACTCTGATTGGATGAGAATTTGCCAGGCCATCTGCTGCGAATGCTAGCGACAGATCAAGAACGACTATCTGGTCATCCTAATGATAAAAGTCGTATTGGAAACTATTTTAGAAAATTTAAAAAGACTCGATTTCTTTGAGTTTATATTTTCCAAAAGAACTCTCTTTTTTAATTTTCTCCTGCGAAGAGGCCTTCAAACCACCCAAAATGTGCTTCATTTCCTTGTTTGGTGAATGGAAACGGAAACAAATACCCTAACTAGTATCAATCTGTGAAATAAAATTTGGGGGCAATGTTGAGCGTGAACCACTGGTGAACCACTTTAACGTGAACCATGCTCAAGACTTTAGAAAATTCACGAACTCGTGCTCAGAGACAGTAAACTCGCTAATAGCGACAATCATAAAATTTGGCACCTTGCTTAAAGCAACAACGTTTTTGAACGAAAAAGGTTTACACGTCAACCGTTCAAAGATGACGATCTTTTTTCATTTTTTCGAGCAACGTCTGATATCACCTATAGACAATAGGATTTACAGTTTCTCAAGCCTTTAAGCTACTGGTTGCAGTTCTATTTTGTTAAAGACATACCATCTTCCATTCTGGATGAATGTATTCAGTCGCTGAGAACTCCATAAAACTTGCAAACCCTTCGTTTAACCAAAAATCATCCCACCACTCCATTGTCACCAGGTTTCCAAACCACTGCAAATCATTTATTGCTGAAGGTAAGCCTTAATTAACACTAAAAAGTTATGTAGAGGAAATTCTCTAAAGATTAGGGACCTTTAGATGCGAGGACGAAATTTAACTTAAAGTTTATTCTCGTATTCTCGAAAAATAGATACCTTGGAAAGCTTCATTGTACATTTTTCCCCACACTGAAAATTAGAAAGATCTGTTTTAGCCTTCAAGTGTCAATTCAACCATGCAGGCCAAAGTCCGATTCAGCATCTCCCAGAGCCAAAACAGCTCAATCAAAAGGCAATTCCAGCCAACGCTGGGGCCCATTTAATTGAGCCCTTGGGTCCAAATGACCCTTAGGTAACTGCATGGACTGCATCGGCCTTGATTTAAGGGGCCCAAATTAGACCTAAAGATAGTCGTAGAATGACGACGGCTATCCCGTTTTCCCGCCAAAATAACCGGCTGGCTCACGCGCAAGTGCTACTTAGGTGTGAGAAAATCTCCTCCTCGTAGTCGGCCTCGTCTTAAAATCTACATGCGTCTTTATTTCAATAAGGCACGGCAAGAGAATATATTACCTGGTGAGCTAATTCATGAGAGACAACCTCAGCAACTCGCTGCTTATTAGCGGAAGAAGATGCATTTGGTTTAAAAAGAAGGTTCCAATCCCTGTAAGTTATAAGACCCCAGTTTTCCATTGCGCCAAAGAGAAAATTGGGGATGGCAATCATATCTGTAAATATAGTAAAACGAAAACTATTTAGAAATAACAGAAGAAAATTATTGAGTTGCAAACGTTTACCAACCGCAGAAATAAACTCAATAAACACCGGCTTATTGAGCAAACCAAACTATTTGGTGCAAAATTTCTTCAGGCACGGCAAGGAAATAATTATAACACATACAATGATGCACGACAACAAAAATTGCACAAATATGCTTCGGTGCTTTCCATTTGTCAAAACTGACCAGCCAGACCATTCCCGTCGTGATGAGAAATTAACTTTTAATCATAACTATTCAGTCAGATCAGTCAAATTTTAAATAGTATGCACGAAGGAGAGGATTTTTCAACAAAAAATGTTTTGAAGAAGCATTTTTGTCCGGCCATGGTCCGGCCGGCCACTTCTGATTTTTGGAAACTCTCCCTTAGTAACGACCTTTCCGCGATAAACCATGTTAGCAACATGTATCATTATCGTTGCACAGACCTTTACATAAAAGGCTCAACGAAAAAAAGATTTGTGCAACCCATGCCAGTCTGAATGGAGTTATACCCAGAACAAGAAACGCGGGATACAAAGGAAAGAGAGTTTCGTATACGTTCAACAACAAGAAAGAGGCAAAGATCCTGTGCTAACGGATTCGTCTTTCAATCATAACTTTTTTAATTCTCTATGAAAAGCTTAACTCACCTGACTTTGGTAACGTGTATTTTATTTCGAAATATTCCTCGTAGAAAGTAAAAAGTCTGTCAGAAATTTTCGAAGCATACTCAACTTGGTCGATTTGCTCTGAAGGCGCATAAATCCTTACCTACAAGACATCACATATGAGACACTTGACAATTGGTTCTTTTATGAAAGAAAAACACCTGTATTTCATCAGGCAACTCTGTGACAATCACAAAGTTTAGTTGTTTGATGTGGCAATTGCAAGCCCCTCAGTAAATGAAAAGTTCACCCTTCTATCAGAGTGTCACAATATCAGACACCAGCGATTTGTCGAACGTGTGAGCTCCGTCACTGAGTTAGGGATGGTAACTGAAATGCTCTTTTATAAATTTGTAGACGTTCAGTTTTAGGCAAATTTCGCTATTGAAAACCCCTTTTTCATCCATTTACTACTGTCCAGTAAAAGATAGTGAATATAAAGGAAAAATAAATGGGTAACAAAATCATCCATATTAAACTGTTACGTGACAAAAGACGAATCGAAACGCACCAATGACATTTCGAGTGTTCATTGCCAATGACATCACGGCTTAACTAACATCGCGACTTCATTGACCAATCAGGTCAATGATCAGAGTTTACTGTACCATCAACTGACGTGATACAACCGTCACTTTGACTCTAAAGATGACTACCATAAAGGTTGTCGAAATTAAACGTCAGCCACTTTCAACAAGTCCTATTCAGGACTACGCTCACCCGGACTTTCCTGCACCACCTAGTTATAAAATCACCCATATTTAGTGACGTACCTTGATTACGTTCTTATGAATGAATTCTTTGAAATCGAAATCACAAACGGCAAAAGCTACCAGGTATGTAGACATAACAACAGACTTTTGAAACACACTGTATTTCCAGCCACCCATCTCTTTGGAGCGATTATAAATAGGCATATTTGAAAGAGCAGTCAGCGTAGGATCATGAGCGATTGTCATGTTAAACGTCGCTTTCATGGCAGGCTCATCAAAGCACGGAAATGCTTTCCGCGCGTCCGCTGGAGAAAATTGAGTTGCTGCAACTTGTCTAAAATGAAATGAGAGAAAAAGTAAGTCAAATGCATTTCAGGCAAATTGTTTGAGAAAAGTTAAAAACATTATATTTGAATATCACGGACTAACATTATCGACCTTAAGATCATTATTTTGCTATGAAAACCTGCAAACTTCATGTAGGGCTACAACACCGCAGGAATGTCTACAGGATTCTTACTCTTTCCAGAACGTAATGAATCTTAAAAAATAAGATTATAGCCCGTGCTTGCAACTGATTTTTTAAGCACATGGACACCTAACCGTTTTCAGACCCCGTATTCAGATTCAGGTATCTGCAGTCTTATTCTTGCCGTGGCCATATTACCCTATTTCCTGGAATAGGCGCCCAAGCGCTTATTTCAAATTTCAGCTAAAAGGATGCATGCGGAGCGGTTTGTACAGCACCCGAAATGATCCCCAACCCTGAGATAATCCCCCAATCGACTCCGAACTGATACCCATTTCTCTTTGCGTCGACCCCGAAATGATCCCCAATTGAAATTAGGAATGGAATGATATCCTAGAACTACGGATCGAGCAAAGTGTACAACATTCACTAATAATCTTCACTCGCTCGTATTCTTTAAAGACCTTAATCTGGGATTACACTTTGTACTGGATTTTAAGGAAAATATTATTTAATACACAATAGTAACACCATGAACTGCAACTGATAACAACAAGATTTTACATATCTTAATGCATAACCTTTTTTAGCATGATTACTCAAGTGATTATGGAGAAAACTGCGTAAGTGTTAAATTCCAAAAAAGTGTGTTGAAACTGCATGGATAATGAATTTTAATTCAGTGTTTTAACACCTTTTAAAATTTTAAAATGGTGTTGAAGATGCGAAAGTAGATATAAAAGCGATTAGACGACAAAAAGCGTTAAAACTCCACATAAACTGTAGTGAAATGCTGACTTGTAATAACTCCGTGGCAGGAAATCATTCCATAAGGAATTAGGATCATTTCGGGGCCCATTTGGGAATCATTTAGGTTCTGGATCATTTCAGGGGTTGTACAGGTTCTTCAAAGGGGAACGCTTAATCGACGGGGGCGGTTATTACGTTTTCCTTTAAAGCTCTTTAAACAAACTGGAGAGAGAGCGACAATGGGACGAAAATTGAACTAAGACATAACGCACATAAAGGAATTCTGCAAGCTATTGGATAAAGAAATAACTGGAAATGACTAATTAACCCAAAAGAAACTATTCTCCTTTACAGATTCCGCTGTAGTCGAAGATAGAAGCCGTTTTCCTTGTATACCTTCTCTTTATTAAAGTGTAGGAGAGGGGGGCGCTTCAATCTGATATTATGGCCTTGAGGTGTGCGCTTATATATATATATATTTTTTAGGGGGGGATGGTTATTAGAGCGTGGATGCTTTCCGTTGATAGTATGTGTTATATATAATGATAGAATTTGGCTGATGGATCGGGCTCATACCAACACAAAAAGTTCAATGCAGTAATTCAGTCGTGAATCCAAATGCTTTCACAATGCATGGAGTCAGAGGTGGTATACGAAAGGTGATGATGTGAGAGCTACAGGTTGTAAGGTGTGCAAAGTTAAGGAAAGTTCAAGCTCTTACGTGATTGTCCCGTCGTTTCGCTTGTACTCCATTCTATAAAATCCTCCCAGATCTGATTTCAAATCTGCTTTAAAAACCATTTTTATAATGTATACTCCCGACTCTAACCAGGACTTTAAATGGATCACGTAAAATTGGTTCGTCTTAAACCAGAAGTGCTCCTTTACGACCATTTCATCTGAGGCAATAAATACAAAAAAATACCATCTTCAACATCGATCATTATCATCATCATCATTATTATTATTAACACTTAATGGGCTCCTTCATATATCATGTACTCACAATATTACTAATAAATAATTCAATATCCCTTGCAGGAACACAAAGCAAAGTCTGGTAGACATAGATAGGAAGTTTTCCTCACGTGGGAAAAAAATATAGCCAATAATCGTAGCCATATCATTAATCAGGACCCTCACTTGACCGAAAAGAAGAGGAAGAAACTTTTTAATCAACCCTGTCCCATTTTTAGCGGGGCTCCCGCGCGCGCGAAGCGCGCGTGGGACAGAGCCCCATACTCATGGAATATGGTCAACCTCTTTTCCTTTGGTTGTCACGTGACTGACCGAGCGTACGTACGTACGTACGTACGCGTCTACAGATTGTACGGGTAGGGTAGGGGAGACTATCAAAAGGAAGGGAGGGGTGTCTCAGGCGTGTCTTGGCAAGTCCTCATCTTTTATATATGACAATAACAATATGGTCAATTGACAGCTGTCAAAACAGGATAGCCACTGACCAGTATCCCATGACCATATCGCGGGCTCATGTGTCAACTCATCGACGTGACGTGATTTATTTGGAAGCTGTCCGCTGACCAGTTAATCGTTTTACTAGATCGCGAACAATGTTCAATCATACTTTTTAGCTAGTTTGGGAGCACAGAAAAACTGATACACATATTGGACATCAATGTTGTGATCAATTGACAGCTGTCAAAACAAGGTATCCGCTGACCGGTATCACTTGAGCGAATCGCGGGCTCAGGTTTCGACCCATCGAGCTCACGTTTATTTTTTAAGTTATCCGCTGACAAGGTACTGGTTTTCAAATGATCGCAGGCTCAAGTTTAATTTTTTTTTAAAAAAATTCGTATGAAATATGTTTTGTTTATGTGGCGCACAATTAAAATTTTGATTTCAAACTGATCTCGGACGCGAAAATTCAGTCAGCTGCTACAGGCAGGGAAGACAGTTGCTTTTGACTTTTCTCACCATGTTCACGCGTTGGTCACGTTCTACGTCCAATTTTTATGCTCTGATTGGTCAAAATTTGACAGGTGAGTTCATGCGGAAAATTTAGGCAGCATCTTGAGTCTTGTTATTTGGGCGTGGCCCAAATAGAGTAATGGAAACGGCTTGTTTTGACGCAAATGTGCAATAGGCACGCAATACGTGCTAACGTAAACAAGGCAAGTAAACAAGCGAAGCGAGGCGAATGTCTGCCATGCGAACGTCTTGTACAAGGTAAGAGGCATGTGGGAAAGAAAGCTCTGCTTGCACACGGCACTTAATCGCACTTTTACGATCTCAAAAGTTAATCTGACTCTTCAGTATTTTTGCCTCATCAAAATTTGGAAGTCTGAAGTCCAGGGATGAAATCTATCAAAAATATTTGGAATATTATCGTCGGGTTTTGGTCACAATAAGATCACAAGCAACGAACCTTGAAACACAGAAACACGAAAAACGGATCGAAATCCACCAATCACAAATCATAAACAATGACCTTTTGAACCCATGGAAGAAAACTTTCGTTTCCTAAGAGGTCCGCTAAGATGATTGACGTCTGACATTTTTTTGACGAGAGGATTGAAATGCACCAAATCATGGAAAGACAGTTTTAATTGCATGTTTCCTAAGAGGTCATCTGAATTTGCTGTTTTCTTTATTTTATGTCCATTTTTTGTAATTGGTCGATTTTGTTAGGTCGAGTGGATAATCCAATGAGGGACGATTTGGATATCTTTTGATCCGAAATTTTTCGAAGCAACAGTGAGAATCAGTTTGGATAACATTTGGCCGCGGCGTTTCGAGGAACGTGTTAATATATTGTTCAATCATGTTATCCCGGGTTAAACTTACAAATGCACATACTGTTCGCGGGTAAGCCCACTCTAAAAAATAACACTGAGTGTTTTCGGAATGGGCTGGTCCGCGAACTCAAAGAAAAACAAAGGAAATTATCAAGACATTCAATGACATCAAAGACTCATGGACCCCATAGACGTAATAACAAATCGGAATATCAGGAGTGTACGTGTAAAATGGATAAGAGTTTGAATACAGGAATGTTGAACAAGTTTGAGAGTCACAAGATTTGTGTAGCTGGTTACCAGTGTGACAATAGTGATTTTGATTTTTGCATTGTGGAACACAGCGAGTTGCCTGTGATATAAATCTGTTCCGATGAAGGAAGAAACGATTGTCAACAATTGAAACCAAAAGGGACTTAGGCTTCTTTTAGAACTACTGTGATAACTGCAACAATTCTTTTTATTATTTCAATTTTGTTTAGCAGGGTGACGATTAACGTACTCGTTTTTGTATTGCATGTTGTGTTTTTTCATACGATAAATCATAAAATCGAGATTGTAATTCGAAACACGCGTTGTTTTCAAAATTTGCATAAATCGGCCGCTGCAAAGGAATTTTTAGGTTACAAGCGCTTCAAAATACTGTACCTTCAGAGCGGCATAGCTTTTACTTGTTGTGCTATATCTTTCAAAACTATCGATCGATTCTAGCTCAATACTCTCAAAGCAGCGTTTTAAATGTTAAAGCCCGTGGCTGGTTGAAATCGTCTCTTGTCGACTTTGGATCGACTTTGGATCAACTTTGGATCGATTATCATTTTATCAGCTTGTGGTATGAACGAAACCTTTTTTTTCTCGATAAAGTTCACTCAACAAATTTAGAAAGATTTACTTGACTTTTCATATGTGGAACGAACTGACTTTTTTGTGGAACGAACTGACTATTTTATGGAACGATCTGACTATTGATTGGAACGATCTGACTTGGAACGATGTCAACGATCTTACCATGGAACAAAATGACCGGTTACCGTCATGCCCCTAGCAGACTACCAATGAACAAATTAAAGTCTTTCTTACAGAAAACACGGAAAGTGACACTTTTTGTGTGGAAGAGTATTCGAAAAAATACACCATTGGCGTCCGAAATTCATTGTTACGTTAAAAGTAGAAAGGGTTTGCACTTAAACAGGTACAGAAGTAACAGTAAGAGTGTGAAGTTTTTACTTAAGGGGCAACTCCAAAACTAGTTCGTAAACGAGGGAAGGTGTATCTGTCGTCCAAGCATCAGAGCACAGGCGATTTAGGTGGAATGAGATATGCAAATAGGCTTCTATGTAAGAATTTGCCCCTCTGTACATGTAATTGTCCATTTTATGGTGCTTAAAACAGTTAAAATCACCGGGTTAATTTTGGCCAATTTAAGCTTTGTACTGATATAGAGAAGAATCCAGGATCTTCAGTTTATGTAGATGCTACAAAAGCAATTAATGCTCCATACCTTCAAGGAAATGTTACAGGATTTGGGGAAAATGGTGGACAACGATGTGTCGCAATGAGCCTGTGCGCTTTAATTTACAGTAAGATAACAAAGATGACTTCAGTTGATGATATGACTCAAATAATGATTTTTGGTATTCAATTATATTCTTGTCTGTCACTACTTGCAAGACAGAATTGCCAGGAATGGTTACAGTGTTTGAGCAATTTTTCCACCTTGAATACAGTTACAGTTATACTTCTAACATCCATCAATACTTTATATGCCACTCACAGGTTACAGCATTTCAAACACTCTTGGCACTGAACTATAACTCATTCATTTTACCGGTGGCAATTATTGGTGTTGGTATCTACAGCACTGAGGCTGGGGGATATAATGCATTTGATTCTCATGCTGGAGATATGTATCATAACAGTCATAGTGAAGGGACATGTGTATTGTTGGAAATACCATCCATGCATAAATTAGTACAATATTTTTAGACTCTACATAGGAATGAGGATATATATGAATTAAAGATGTACAAATTGCCACCTTTGAACCTCATCTTTTCTCAAGCAGTGTTGAAAATTGTAGTATATCAAATGTTAACAGTTACCAATGTTCCTGTTAAGAGCAGTTGTCTGTAAGATTCGAGCTATATCAAAAAGGCGCTGCCACACTATCTCACCGAATTGGCTAAAAATTGGCATGTAGACTTGATTTGAGGTCTTTAATAAGGAATAGGTAACTTTAGGTTCTAATTCCTCCTACTTCGGAAATTATCGACATGGCCGGTTTTTGGGTGCCTCGGACCGGCGCCATATTGGTTAATAGAAGCTGCTTTTGCGCCTTCGACTACAACCCTGTCTTCAAAGCTAATCTTCCTTTGCCAATACAGATTGAAAGAACAATCCCTCTTTATTGTATTTTTAGAAACTACTTCGAAATTGATAACGTTTTCGCAACGATCGATTAAACTTTTGGTGGGTATACTTTTTGAATTTTTTACACCTGAAAAATTAACAGAATTTTAAAGGCGTATATCTCTTTTGCCACATCGCATTGAAGCTTGCCAATCTGCCTGAATACTCACTGTTTGTAGTTAAATCGAGTTCGTTAATAAAAAAATTGGGCAAATTTAACGGAGCAGAAACAAAAGTAATGAATGGAAGACTGTTCTAGCGACTTTGTCAATAATCTGTACACCGAATACTCGCCAGGTGTTGCCAAAATTACAATCGATAATAGAGTTTCTGTCATTAAATCTGAGTGATCTGTGTAATAAAATTAGCCTCTGTAATATAATCGATAACTCTGCTGCGAAAAACAGTATAAAAAAGGCAGATTGTATAAGGAAAAGGAAAATGAATTTGTTATGTTTATGCTATGACGCGTAAACAAAATTCAACCATCACAGTCGAACTGGAATTTTCCTGATTTTCCTCCAGTTCCTTTACCGAAACCAGAGCTTTTAAAATTAACCATAGTAATGAAAATTGAGATGTATTACCTTACTCGACGACAAAGTTGCCAGTTTCCACCTTGATCGAAAAAAAGTAATATTTTCCCACGCATATCGCGGGTCGTCACGTTCCTTGCCTGGCGTTACAACTCACGTGAAACCGTCTGGTTTCAAACAACTGAACTGAAGAATCCGTGAAAATCTTAGCAGGCAATAAATAATGGAAGTTGATATAAGTTATCGTTATTAGTGAGCGAGGATCGATGCGATGATAGTTCCAGCTACATGTGTTTACAGCGTTTGAAGATTTACTCAAAACTCATGAGACATGAGCCCTTGAAATAAACATCATTACTTCCGGTTTTAAAAATTGGGCGTTGGCAAAGTAATGAATAGACTCATTCTACCTTGTACACCGTTAACAACGGTTTCGTGTACAATTTTCAGGTATTTTGTCTCAATCACGAAGCCCGTTTTGAGGAGATTCTTGATAAACAGAAAAATTGGTTTGGAAGGGGTTAAGGAGAATGAGGGATGAGCCCGGGACAGCAAAAACCACAGTCACCCCACCGAAGGGCTTTAAAACTGTGCGCAAATGCCTCACCCTAGGGACAATTCCAGATTTTTGTTTCCTTGAAAAAGCTTAAAATCGCTAGACAATGCATGGACAACTCCTGACAGTCCTAATTCAAAATAAAGTAAACAGCAAAGAAAATTCAGTTAGAGACCAGAGTGTTTATCCGATATCGCGAACAATAAAGAGTGATTGAAGATGTGTCCGCAGTTTAAGGTAAAATCATTTACCATGCTCACGGACCTTTCGACAACATAAGTGTACCGATTGACGTAATATCAGTGGTAAAAAACGAACGCTTTTTACTGTAGGACGATGACGTCATCATACAAAAGGCGTCTTCACTCTGGTATCCAGAATTTCAAACAGTCAAAACCTAGTAATTTTCTCTGCTCGTCAAATGAAAAACGCCTCTGAGGGCAAGTAGTGGTAATGTGCTTGTTAGTAAGACGTCCAACATAAGGAGACATTCATAATCAACTCGGTTAATGCATTGATAAAGGGAAACTTTCTCCTTTACCCTTAGGGACAGAGTTCAAAGGCCCAAAAGATTTTTAGTTCAGCTCTAGCATGTGTTGTCTAGCGATTTGCCTTGAGCTTCTCCAAATTTTCCAGATTAAACAAGCTGTGCCCATCGTACATAATCTTGTCTGGGCTCCCCTTGAAAAATTGCAATTCATCAGATGCCTTCAAGTTCATCCTCCGCCGCGACAACTTTGTGATCTATTTTAATGGGTGGTTTTCTGGAACTATCCTATGGCTTGTCCTTTCTGGTCGTCACTATATTAGCGAACATGTTTCAATTTCTCTCCAGCAAAAGTCTCTATCAGGAGCGTAGCCAGGACAGTTCCAGGTGTGCGGAAAATTTCCAAAACTTACCCTAACATCTTACTCAGTTCTCTCGCAACGCTTCCCCACTACATTTGCTAATTCTGTTAACTAGGTGAGGTTATGCGTGGATGAAATGGCACTTGCAATCGGTGAGAAAATTAGGTTAGACACTTTACCCTCAAGGACGACTCTCACGTTTTGCTGACACTTTCTACCTTAGAAGAGATAAGTGAAGCTTTGCCTTCCCCACTCCGTGTAAATGTTCGGCTGTTCAAACTACTTTTAGAAGACAACAAACTTCCCAACTTTAATTTTTAATAAAGGTATAAGGGTAGGAATCCAAATTGTTTTGGAGTATTTCACTGATTTTAACACGATGATTGTAAAGTAGTGTCTAGTGAGTACGGGGGCTAATGACCCATCGTAAAAATCTGAAATTGAAAACAAAAATCTTGTATAACCGAGTAGTACACAATTTTAGTTATTTTATTGAGTTGTGAAAAATCACAAATTTGTTTCTTCTTGAATGTGTTATACTCTCATCCATTCAGTCTTTCCGATATGCCCGTCGGATAGCGGAAGTTAACGTAAATGATCGATTACCTGAAAAGAAGCTACCATCCTAACTTTCCACCTTCGGGTCTTTTCCCTAGCCATAATTTTTTTTTCCCTCAAGGAGTTTTTCTCTGTTTTACATAATAATTGGTCTTGCATTCAGCTTATTGATTTTGAGAGCCTAGTCCTATGCCGTATTCTGATGCGATCTACTTTATGTAGCTTTCCCCCATCTAACAGCTCCTTACTGAACAAAAACGGCTTTAATTGAGTCTATTCAAAGAACTAGCCAATATTTTTGCAGGGGTAAGCACAATGTTCCTAATTCCCCTAGTCCCCTTCTTAGACGCTTTCATGTGCATCAGGTGTTAAATTTTCTTTTCATAAGCTACAATGCTCATAATCGCGCATTCTGATGTCATTTATGCTTAAAAAATTAAAAATTAGTTTATCGAAGTAAGAGTGAATTAAAGGTGTCATGAGGCGTTTGTGATTTCATGAACTATTTGACGCGGTCCTTTTCTTACGGCTTATGTCCGTTGGTGAAATCGCTACTTGGGTTTTCTTGGATTGAAAAGGGCGGGCTCTTTCTAAACGTGGCGTTGTTTATGGGACCTTAGTATTCAGAACAGAATCAGTCGATGGCAAACAACGAAAAGGCTTTTATGTGGTGAGTTACAGTGATGAACCTTGCCTCGAGATGGTCATATTTTTGTACATACCTTCATGCAATTCAGTGTTGGTCTGAAAATTTTTTGTTATGGATGGGGGAAGGGTGGGGGGGAGAGATCAGAACATGTACCTCGTGTTGTTTACGAGACATTAAAGTAATGAAAACTGTTAAACAGTCTTCTACAAATCAAAATAGTTGCAAATGCTTACGGGAGGCCGTAACTATATGATGATAAGAAGGGCTATATTTGGAAAGGTGCATGGTCGTGGAGTTAAGGAGATTTGACTAATCAACCAATTTCCCGCTAAACATAAGGGCGTGGCCAGTGGCCCCAAAATTGTGTTCGCTCGCACGGGCTGGCTCGACTTTTGGGATACGGTTATGGGGTTATAAACAATGAGTTCATCATCCATATAGCCTACTCGCCCCACGTGACTGCATTTCGCTTTTCAGAGACCCATCAGTTACTGTATGACCCTCTCCGATCAGATTTTATGTCCGTGGTACTGGTGATGAGGTCAGTCTACAAGCAGAGTCGTGAAAAACACCGCCACTTCAGCCTTTACGTTCAAAACATTCCTGGCTATCGGGAAAAAAAAGAAGGAGCTTTTAAAAATACTAAATAAAATGTCATTTCAAATATCACTTTGTCACCGTTCGAAAATTATTGTGAATCAGACCGAATGAAAGTTCACTCAAAGAGGGGAGGGGGGAGGGGGTTGGTAGTTCTAAACAGTTCCAGTTAGCTAGAAAATTAAAAGTTACGAAAAAAATAGTGGGCGAACTGCAGAATTCATGCAAGAATGAGAAAGAAAATAGAAAACAACTTCCTGTTCAAATTCGGGAAACGTTTAATAGCGTCAAGAAGACTGAACTTGACTGAGGTTGTTCATTTCAGTTCCGTTCCAGCGTGCAGTTCGTTGTCCTCCTAAAAATAGCTTCGTCTCCCACCGATCATTCCATGTCATATTTTGCGGACTTGTTATTCAGTAATGACGGTACGATCAGGTAATTTGACTTGATGAGTTCTTTAATTTCATTTCATGTACTAGTTTTATATCTTACGCTGGAAAGATCTGCCAAACAGTGTACATTAGCAAAGGTAGGTTCCTGTTTACACGTGTAATTATCGAATACCATACAATTTGCATAAAGCTACAGTGCACGGTTGGCTTTTCTAGCCTTTTGATTAAAATTGACAACGTTTGCGTTATCTTTGCCTAAGAAAATATGTAATTTGTAGCTGTATACAGCGAAATACTACAGAGAAAATAGTATCTGTGCAGTACACGAGCGGCTCCCGAAGAGCGAACTTGAACTAGTACCGTGTGTAACAAAATTTATAATTTTCATTTTAGCGCATATTTCAAGCTCTTCGCAAGATCAGAATCAAAAGATCATCTGTTTACATTTCAAGGGAGGGTTTTTAAGCGATAGATAGGGTTTAAGAGGCACGATCAATTTTTAAAGAATTTTCTTTTCAAATATTCACCGAATTTTGTTTTGAAGTTTTAGCGGCCAAGTGGCTGAACCACTGCGCATTCATGCAATCATATTTCTGTTCCGTTGCATTTGCCCAATTATTTTATTCAACAATCTAACTTAGCTATAAACAAACTATGTTTAGTTAAAATGGCTTAGTCTAAATCGATGTGGCATGGGTGATATTGGCCTTCCAATTTCTACCAAATTTGTGTACCGTTAAAGTACCGAAAAAGTGCTGTGAGAAGTTATAGCCGTTCGTAGCTCAGGCTTAACCATTTTCAGATAAGAGTAGGTAAATGAAAGGAGGAAGGATAGCTCTTTGCAACTGTATGAGTCACGATTAAGTTATTTTAATGACAAGGCTAGAATTAATTACTGTAAATCTCTTTCAGTTCACCAACATGGCGGCCGCTCGAGGCCTCGTCAAAACTGTCATTCCTGTATCTTTGAAACCAACGAGAATTCGAACCTTAGAATATGCATTCAGTATTTAGGACACCATTCTAAGACTACATGCCAAAAATCAGCCAAATCGATGAGGTACCGTGTCAGGCCGAAGTTCGAATTTTACAGAAAATCACTCTTAACAGTGCTTCCCTATAGCAGTTTATGCAATGTGATACTCTCTTATTAATCCTTGTGGATACTGGACTTAAGGAACTTTATTTGCCCTTGTTAGTAACCGGAATACACTGTACAAAGTTATGGGTGTGAAAACACATCTGTCAGTATCAGTGGAGCTGAGATAAACCTTACTCTCCGGGCTGTAACCACTTATGTCCTATGTTGCAATTTGGCTCCAAGCATGTCTGCATTGAAGATGTGCATATTTTCAAACATTGTCGTGAAATGATACTATTTTTGTTGTGGATTGGGACATACTGTATAAGCTGTGCGGTTCAGCAAACAAGTGCAGTAAAGGATTTGTCTTCTCTGGTAAGATATGATGACAGTTCTTTAGCTGCAATAAGACATGTTCAAAGTATCATACCCGTAGTACGACCACGCCCAAATATACGCTCACACAGCGTCTTGTTTACTTTGACAGCTGAAGCTGACAGAGTTTTGTGTCAACTTTTGATTTTTTTAACTGTCCTTTTCCACTGGATGTACAAAATGAAATTCAGCTGCTATCGGAAGTCTTCTGTTATCCATGGCTAGTTTGTTTATTGGGTTTTTGGTTGAGAAATACGTCACTTGTCAAAGTTGGAAATCCGATTTCGGATGGCATCGTTTTCGTTTTCATCTTGCTTAATGCGTAAGAGGGTTTCAAAGTCTGAAGCGATACTGGCCTTACTTGATACCTTTGAGGAGCTGCATCTCGAGTGGTAAGCCCGAGTAATTATTGTAGTTGATGTTTGTTTTTTATTTCTAATTTAATGAAGTCGAGCGTAGTTTATGCGGCTATTTTGTTTACGCACGTTTGTAAGATTTGAGACAATGATCTGACCGAGTATCAGGTTTATATAAGCTTACAGATCTTTTTTCTCACCTCAAATAGAAAGAACACGTTCCAAAGAATTTTCAGTTATAATTCAGGCTGTAAAAGAAGCTTTGAGCGATTTTCTTGCCTCGAGTTCGTCTTTGAAAAAAGCAAACACCGGGAAGCCGGCTTAAAACAAAAACTTCAGCTTTAAGCTCGAAGACTCAGGATTTTTAGAGACACTTTAATACTTGTCTTCCTGAATGAAAATTGTCGTCTCTGTATATGTTTCACCGAATTTTATTTCTTTTGTTGATTATTAGTAGTCTCTCTTGTAATTTTAATCGCTGTGCCGATTGTTTTCAGTCGTTCAGTGAACAACGCTTCCCAGAGTACTCAAAGTGCCGCGCGTTAAACCATTTTAAAATAAAAAATAAACATAATAAATTCTTTATTATATTGGAGCTTAACTGTGTTAATGTTCATTCAAACACTCGCCACAGCTAGCACTGCAAAATTCAGAACCGGCTGGCCGTATAGGTGATTTTGGAAATTTTTTTAACGGTTTAGCTAAAGCCCACGCGTGCTTTGATCGTCCTGAATATTGAATGATAGCAATTTGCATTGCAAAACTGTCAAATACTGCATTCTGTTGTCCGAGGTTTGTATGATAAAAACAGTGCCTCATAGTACTGTTTCACCTCAGATGTGATGTATAAATGATATATAAGGTTGGTTTACACGAACCCAGATTTGTTGGCAATATTTTGTAAAGTAAACTCGTCGAACGCAAAAAATTCGGCCGGAACTTTTTTCCAGGCCTAATTAAGCTACGGTGATCAAGAGCCATTACGGCTCTTGAAAAATGTGATCGAAGACGATTGCGAGTTTTTGGGTGTACATATGAGGCCATCAACTCGATGTAAGATTTGGTTCACTCTGGGGTTGTTTGCATGAATGTGTTCTAAGGTTAACTGAATTGTGGAATACAAGTTTATTGTTTGATTTAAATTATAAATTTATTAATGCATGGGAGCCTCGCTTTTAGCCCTGGCTAAATCTATATATTACTTACTTCATAGCATTTTACTTACCGCCAGAGGATCGGAAAACTATCACTGAAGTGACCACGAGCTCCTTAGTATGAAGCAAAATATACTCGGTGGACTCTGTAACGTTAACTAAGATGCTTACGTTACCATTAAACGTAAAGTTCTTTAGATCAACGAATATGATGACGTCATAGTGTATGGGAATGACATGTTTTGGAAGGCGTACGTTCCACCATGGCTCTGTTCCGGGAGTAGGCGGGTCAACTGTTGAAACTTGAATTTGCGGCGGCGTTGAGGTTGTTAGCAGTTCTTAAGAAAGGAAGAAAAATTATATCAGTGGACATAGTCGACTCATTGGCTGAAAATTGATCGAAATTCTCTTTAGCAATCGGGAGTTAGAGGGTTTGTGTCACGGCTGGCTGCTTCACTTTGTTAGTAACGTTTTACTTAGCTACGCGTTCTTAGTCGTTATGGAACTTGGGAAGTGAGTGACAAAATTCCAGCTTCGTGGTGAATACTGATATGTCAGTCCTTAGTATGATTTCAAACGTTACAAACAACAAAAATTGCATGCATTTCATTATCTCCTGAGACTTGCAATCCAGATCCGGCTTTTTCCCCGAGAAACTTAAAATAGGAGAAATGATAAGGAATTCTTGAACTGTTATTGTATACAGAGCTAAATTTGATCTTTTGAATACTACCTCAAAACACTAGTAACTGAACAGTCATTACAACAAAGATAAAAGCGACTTGAGATTTCCCAATATTTCAGACTGACAATTACAAGCCGTGCTTTTTCAGAGAGTTTACTGAAGAAATGGAAAGTCGTTACAATTTAAATACATGTAGTATGAAAACTGTACAGTTGGAAATTTGATACAAGGGTAAAATTTAAAAATTGAATTGGCCAATAACGTAGATCTTATAAAATGGCATACAGATATAAGACGCAGATAAGAAGATAGTTGATAGACAACTTAGGAAAGAAAGGAGGAAACAAGGAGAAAAGCTAGCAAATAAGCAATACTTTCTTTAACGTTTTAAAACACATGAGAGCGCCTGAGCTGAGAGACAAACAAGACCTCATACTAATTTTTCACTTAATTGTCTTGAGCCAATACTATGAAGCGTGCGTGATCTAGTATTTAACATGGAGATCAAATTAAAAAGGCGGGCGAGCGCTCATCAGTTTCTTACACAATGTTAGCTGAATATGTCCTCGTAGGGTCCCAGATAACCTTGAATTCTTGCCAACTATATAAAACCCTTTTATAGTACAGAACGATTCTAGTAAACGTTTTGCGAGGACTTAAACCTCTCTAGAACTGAGGCAATATCTTTAAGCGAGTGAGCACATTTAAGCCGTATTTTATCTAGATAAGCTTCAGGGCTAGGAATAAACAATATGCGGCATTTTTGGCATACCGTGTACCCACTTTGTGATCAGTAACGTTTCTGAATTGAAATTACTTCTGTACTAAAATATACTGCAGCAACCTCATTTAATTTAATTAATACATAGCTTTCGTTTGAAGCTTAGGGTTATTTAATTTCTAAACTAATGGTGCATATGAAGCAAATCAGTAGCGTGAGGTAGTAGGTGATTAATTCGATACCGTTCATGATTATTTCTGTAACTCATGATCTATATGTGTGATTACAACCTAAGAAAACTACATGTAGTTAAATTCTAAATTTTGTGTAACGTCTTTTGTAACAACTGTTAAGTACAGCGTACATCTTAGTTTCATCTGCGTCTGGATAAGCCAGCTTATAAGATAACAGCCACTTGCCTTTGCATTTATCGTCGACCTCGCCTCCAGAAGACCTTGCCTTTCCAAGAAGAGAGCCCAAAACAATAACCAAAATGGTAAGTATGATGATTAAGGCAATAACAGTGGCAATTACACCTCGAGCTACAAATCTCCCATTTATTGCGTCGGATCTATAATGCTGGGACTCTCGTACCACGAACGAGTCTCCCTTCAGAGGTTTTTCGTCCATTTTATACCAAAACAAGGTCTCAACTTTACTGGGTCATCAGTAGCTTTTAGCTTTAGTATGCAAATATCATCAATTAAAATTTTATGAACTCATTAGAATAACGTTTTTGGTTCCGATTCTGAAAAATGAATACCTAAAGAATGTCAAATTTGCTAAAGATAATTAACCCAAAGTCAATAATCACTATCACGATTACTTTTTTAATTAATCTTAGGACACTAGTAAAAACCAAATGACTTTCAACAAAAAGGAAAGAAAGATAAATAAAGAGTTAAGTGCTGTTTAATTCCTCCCTCGAAACAAAAGAAGGCCGCGTGCTACTTCAAAGGCAAGACTGATTTAATGAGCAGAGTAAGGGATGATGGTGAACAAACAAATCTTCCACAGGAGTTAAACTAGTTAAGTCAATGCTTTTTTCACTGAATTCCAAAATTTTTACTTATTCTGCAAACTGATTGAATTCAACAAAACAGTCACTTTAAGGAACAATTTTTTTAAAACAATTGTAAAATCCGCCTTATTTTTCATTCCTTAAAGTATCAGAGCATTTTTTCATTGCTTTACTATGTCACCAGGAGCGCGGCTCCTGGTTACATTTTTTGCCGCTCCTTTTTCCTTCTTAGCGGCCTCCCGTTACAGCACGTTAAACTTCGGTATATTCTCAGTTTAGTCGCTGTACACACTCATCCTTATTTTATGACTGGTCTTCGACCGTCACTAAACAAGTATACGAAAACAGACACCCAAAACGCATCTTTTGAGCGGAGCCCTCGAACGCGCGAAGCGGGCGAAACGGAGCACCATAAGTAAGAAAACTTGGCTGTCTATCCATTCACGAAATTTTGGTTCTGACAAAATCGTCCGTTTACATGCGTACGTCCACCCCTTCATGTAAGCCACTGGGGATGAAATTTTGCATTTCAACCACTCGTTTTGAAGACGTAAAATCGCAAGGCCATCCGGACTTTTAGAGACAAAAAACAACAACTGCGTGAGCCGTTTCTTTTTTTGGGACTAAATTTTAATGTCTACAGCGTCGTGGACAACGGAGACAGGGCTATATCTATCTGCCATTAATTTGCCTCCATCAAAAATCGATGATTCTTTATCTCTATAGCGAGAGATAAAACATAAAAAGGCGACGACTTTCGTTAAAAGAAAAAGATGAAAATTTTAAAATGGCGGTGAGAAAAAGAGACTGAATGCAAGCGGCCACGAGGTGAAAATGAGCCGCGGTGAAGAAAAAAAAAGCGAACAGAAACACATACGACATTAGACAGGGGCACCCAACGGCAATTTTCGGGAAAATATCTGTTCGGAAGACGATTTGAGATCTAGAATTTTCGGAGCATTTGTTGTAAAATTTCTTGCTCGCCTGCCTCTCTTAGGATTTTCGAACATCTACAAAATGGTATAATTACCCATTTTTAACGGATTTTGACCCTAAAAAAGGCCACCTAGAATTTTCGGGAGCCTTTTCCTGGCTGAAATTTTCGAGAAGGTAAGTTTTTATCCCTATAATTTTCGGATCACTAGACTTTCAGCTAGGAAATCCGAACAGATGAAAAGTTTTTAGGGGATAAAAATATGCCTATATCTACCGTTTGAATACTAAAATACGTTCAACAATGCTATGTTAAGTGGTTTTGAACTATATCCTCGCTGGGTGCCCCTGATTAGAGAGTCAAAGGCTTTTTTGTCTTTTGTTTTCAACCTGAAGTGAGGACTTTTGCCTTTTAATACCGGCATTGACGCTATAAAATTAGTATCGCTTAGTTTTCTTACACTTGTAAAGATGATTTAACTGGAAATTTGGACAAAACTACACTGCTCAGGAATGTAAAACGTTCATGCACGTGCGTCGCTCGAAAACGAAGTTTGCTAAAGTTCCCTCTGTTCCCTATTCATAAAACGCGTAATTTGGAAGTTCCAGGTTGTAGTGGTGCAAAACAACAGCGAAGAAGTGTGCTGCACGTGCAACTGTTGTTTTTTGCTAATTAAACCAATTGTTTGTTTGTTTGTTTTTTTTTTTCAGCCGTTCTGTTAGCATCACACGATTTTGATATTTTTTGTTCGAGTAAACTTAAAGTATATCAACGAGAGCTTCGCTTTTAGCCCTGGCTAAATCTATATATTAAAACAAACTTCACCAGTCGTGGAAGTTGATAGAAGCGTTTGTAGCAACGTCCAACAACTTGCTAAAATTGGGGTAAAGACGACCACCGCCCATTTCAACTGTGCCCTAGTAGACAATAATACCTGTAGTAGCTGTAGCACTGTAGTACCTGTAGTACCTGTAGTAGCTGTGGTAGGTAGCCGTGCCCAGGTTCAGTTGCTCGCAACTTGTTCCCAATTGCGCGGTTAATTTATCCATCGAGAATCTGGGAGCTAATGTGATTACAAAATGGCGGTCGGAACAAAATCAATAGCGTGCTGAATTGTTTCTCCTTTTGAGAAAGAATTTTTGGTCATATTTCGGTTAGATGTGAGGAATCTAAGGATTGAAAGGTATATTTTGGCATTTAATGATGAAGCTATATTTATACCTGGCACAAAACCTGATATTTCCTTGTCGATAAGCCATGCACTGATTGTCAGCTTAGGTTTGTACATGATTCACGTTTTCCGACCTTTTAAAACTCAACGGATGATCTGTATATCTGTTGCTCGCGTTATTTATATTATATTATTTATAAAGAAACTTTGATTACTTCAGGATAACTTTAATGGCAAAAGTTTTCACGTATATTATTTTTAGTATTTTAATGTATATATTTCAGGTAATGCATTTTAGTTACTAGTAAATGTATATCTTGAGGTTCAGTTTTATCCTTGGTTTAAATTTCATTTTGCTTTGTTTCAAACTCATTATCATGCATTAACATACCCAAAAACAAAGGGAAATAAACTTTAAACCAAGGATAAAATTGAACGACAACATATACATGACCCTACAAGCTTTTTAGCTTTAACTCTTTGTCATGTCAAAATAAAGGTTTTATGTTTATGTTTATATTTTATACGTGATGATGTATCTTCTGCACAATTACACTCTTTGAATTTAGGTTTGTGATGCACTGAAGTGAAGTGACCCAAACATGAGTTCGTCTGCAGCAAAGGTAAGGAAAGGTATATTTTTTGTATGTGCAAATATATATCCTTGCAATACGTATGGTTGACGGAAGAAAACAAGTAACTACATAAGTATCCCTACAAGCCTGTTTCGTGGTTGCCCACTCATCAGGGGATTTTAATGAGAATAACTTTACCATTACTTATATACTAGACTGATTTACATAATTTATTCAGTGCGAGGTTTGTTACATCAGTTGTTGCGCAAGAGGGCTTTGTTTCTGTGGCGGCAGGAAGACACGAGTTCATTACGTTTGTTAAGTGTAGAGAGTTCAGGTCGGCAGATGATAAGGAATTTTTCTTTAAGACATAAGTTGCATCGTTTGCTTGAGCTGTTGTACGGCAGGTGTGAAGATAGAATGCGCCAGGCGATAGAGTAGTTGATGTTGTTTTCTTTAAGAGTCCAGACGTGTTTGCTGAGTTCAGTGGAGTTTCTGTTCTTTGTGTGACGGAATGATGACATGTGGTTGCTGTATCTTGTTTTGAAGTCGTTCGCAGTAAGCCCGATGTACGTTTCTGTCGTGTTGGTGTCTTTTCGTGTGACAGTAGCTTGGTAGATGACAGCAGGCTGAAGGCAGTTCCCGTTGAGCGGGCATGAGTTCTTTTGTCGGCAGTTGCATTTCTTGTTGTTGTTGTTGATGATGGTGGTGGCGGAGTCGGCGGTAGCGGTGGTAGCATTAGTCTTAGCATCGGCAGTCAAGATTCGTTTGTTGTGGTTGTCGATGATTTGTTTTGCGTTGTTCATGCAGCTGTAAATCTTTCACAGAAACACCATCAAGATCAGTTACAAAGCCCTCTTGCGCAACAACTGATGTAACGAACCTCGCACTGAATAAATTATGTAAATCAGTCTAGTATATAAGTAATGGTAAAGTTATTCTCATTAAAATCCCCTGATGAGTGGGCAACCACGAAACAGGCTTGTAGGGATACTTATGTAGTTACTTGTTTTCTTCCGTCAACCATACGTATACTCGCTCTACTTTATGTATTGAGCACTGTTTTACGGATTTCAAGTTCAAACCTCTTATATCCTTGCAATAAGTAGGAAAACATACGGTATGTGAAGAAAGATTTATTGTATAAGATTATCATATAAGATGAAAGAAAAATCAAGGAACTTAGATGGGTAAAAGGAAAATGACCAAATCCCCTGAACTTTCTTTATTTAAGGTATTAAGGCATTTTTAATCCTAACATTAAGCCTATGCATGAATACACTAAGTGAAAATGACCCTCTACCTGCTGGGGTAGCATGACAAAATGTCCAGAATTTCATGATGCCAGCACTTGATCTTATGTGATAATCTTACCCAGATCTGGGTGGAACTTCTGAATTCTGATTGGTTGAAAATTTGCTTCATCCAATCAGAAGCACTTCCAGATCTGGGTAGTGATGCATCATCAGTATTTGAATTTCTGTGGTCATTCCTCAAAGATCATTTCGACGGAAAACCAGTATTTGAGTTTTGAGGAATCGGCTATTATGTAAGGTTACTGGTAGGTCAGTAATAGGAGCAGCCATTTGGAACCAGGGAAAAGTCATGGGGGTGACATTAGTTAGCTAAGCAAAGACCTTTTTTGAGTGACACACGGAACCGGAACCAAGTGGACTTTTTTCCTTCTTGAGCAATATTTTTGCCCAAATTTTTGGACAAATCGTCTCTATATTAAGAAAGGGGCTAAGAAATACAAATTTGATATTTTCAATTTGTTTTAAAATGAGAAAGATCTCACTTTGGGTTGATGTGCTTCGCTCAAAAAAGCCTTTGCTTTAGCTCTCTTATGTATCATCATGTGAGCCCTGAAAATGGAGGTGACATCTGTGATAATAAATATGTCATTTTCAACTTGGAAAAATTGACTGAATACAAAATATAATGGAAGACCTAGTTTTGTACAGAGAATTTTTGTTTAAAAATAAAAATTTAAATTTCTAACTTGCTCTGTTTATTTATAGGTAGCTGAAATATTCACAGCTGCTGGAGAAGCTTTTTCACATTTAGGAGAACTGACAATGCAACTGCATCCTTTAAACAATGAGGCCAGTTTGACATCACCCTCAAATGCAAATACAAGGTGCTAATACCATGAATATATATCAGAAATATAATATTGGATGACCTGTAATTATGCGGTAGATAGTAAATAATGTTAAATAATTTCTGTAAATTTGAAAATTACTGTAATTGTTTTGTGATTGTTTAATTAATAATGAAAAAATTTTGACAAGAATGAATATATAACAGGGGTCAATTTGATAAAACTCTTACAAGTGTAATTTACAAGTGTAGCTATTGTACTTTCTAAAATTTGCATAAAAATATGCCCACTGATCTTGCCCATTGATCTTCAGTATGCAGTTTGGAATAATTATTGCAAATCCACAGTGTGAGGATCTTAAAAGACATTTTTCTCACCTTTCTCAGTTGTAGTTGATTTAATTGATCTGAATCATTTCAGCAATAGTGGCAAATGGGGAGATGAGGAGATTGAATTGTTGCGGAATGCAGTAAAAAGATTTGGAGAAGATTTAAAGAAGATAAGTGGTCAGGTCAAGAACAAGTCTGTGTGAGTATTTATTATTTACATAATTTATTTTGTAAAACAAAGGGGGAATTAATTTTTTTATATAAGATCAAGATTGAGTCATTTGAAACCTACCAGTATTTCCATGAAGCAGAACTTTATTACTTAAGGAAATGGAATTTTAGTGATAACCATCATGATAGATAAAAACCCACATCATGGATCTTACTGTGCTGCCACAGGGCAGCTATCACTAAGTGTCAGGCACCGGGAATCTCCGCCAGCTACCAGGAGCATGAACCCTGGCTACTTTCATGAAAAACAAAAGAAAAATAGAACCAAACGATCTTCCTAGCTAAGATTCAATTCCCCTCCTTCTCATAGACCTTTCCCGCATTACTGTATCTACAAAGGCACCAACTCGAGACTCGGGTGGACAAAATCCAGTGATTTGTATGAAATTGTCTACCGAGCCTTGTCCTCATTTCTTTACGTTTTCTTGTGAACTGGAGCATGATGCGGGAAAGGTCTATTGCATCTACCAGGCAACTTGAAATCTTAGTGACAGTGTGTGCTAGTTGTCATCACTGCAATTTGGTTTACATCCTATTTGCCCTTCTTTCCTAAATTAGAGCCCAAATAAAATCTGCGCTCAAAAAAAGGCTTCATGAGCAGGAGACCTCCTCACAGAATGTGAAAAAAACCAAGGAAAAGACCCAGGCACCATCCAGTGAACCACAAGCTAAGAAAAAGAAAACAGAAGGTTTGAACAATTCCAATTTTATTTCAATTTCCTTTGTATCCACTTCACCCATCACTTCAGTTTATATGAATAATTATATTTACACACTGGCAGTGTGTGGCTGAAGTTAAAGCCAGCTGGAAATGATCACATTACCAGTCTTGAAAAAATAAAAATATTAATGTCTCTGGGATTTTTTCCTTACAAAGCAAAAGCCTAAGGCCTGAGTAAAGTGAGGTTTATAAGCATCTCAGAATTCTTTTGTTTCATGTATAGATCACTTAGGCCAGTGGAATCTTGGCTGGCCTTAATTTACAGATATGTTGTGCTTCAATTTTATATTCCTTGGTTTAAATTTTATTCTTCATTGTTTTAAACTGCCATACCAAGAACAAGAGGAAGATAAAGTTTACATCAGGGATAAATCTAAACCACAACTTGCAGCAAAACCATACCAGGATAAATCTAAACAAAGAATTCAGCAATTCAGTCAATATACTATGAAAAAATTACCATATCATCGATCTCAAGGGGCTACGTATGTTAACTCAAATTTTTTTGAACAAATACTGATCAAAACCATTGGCAGCTTATGTAGCTTGTTTCTGATTATTGCTTTTTAAATTCCATTAAATTAACTTTCGAAAAAAAAGTTACCAAAAGTGCCAGCCTAGCATTAAGCACAGTGTAGCTAGCTTAGTGCTGACTTGTAAACAATGTTTTTGTTCTTTTAATTACACCAGATAGTGACTAAAAGTGGCTCAGCTACCCTGAAATGTTGTTTCTGTGCAAAATTTCTGAGGGCTAATGTGTCAGCTAGTAAATTGCTCTAGTTACATATGTCCTTATAGGTTTTTGTGGCCTCAGTGACAAAAAAGCTGGGACTCCTAAGTTTCTTTTGGCCTTGGCTTTGAGTGTGCTATAATAAGAAGGAAAAAAAGTACAATTTATTATTGTACTTTTTTTTCCTCCTTTTCCTTTATTTTCTATAATTTACATGACTGCAATCTCCTTTGCAGTCCAATCAAGCTCTGAAGATGATCAGCTATCCTCAGCTTTTTCCCCTGGTCCCATACCAAGTACAACGGTTCCTGTAACCGACTTGCTTCCAGAAGGCAGCTCACCCCTCAAGACTGTCACCAATGGTACAGAAAATGATGTTGATATTGTCGGCATTTTTGATAACGGACAAGACACTGTTTTTCCAGAGATGCCTGGAGGTAATGTTCTCAGTTAAACCTGAATTTCTTTATTTTCCTTTTGCTTTAAAATGCTAGTAGTCAACTCTCTTAGATAGACATTGCTAGTATCTGCATTGTACCACTATAAAGTGTTCATGTTGGAGAAGTGTCTGCCTGGTACAGAGTCAAGGAAAAGGACCAGAGAACAGCAACTGACCTGTTGTAGGTGTCCAATTTAGGAAGGTTTCTGACCTTTTAAAATACACGTCTCAACATTAAGAGAGAGTCGACTGTTGATACATAGGTATTCATGTGATCTGACTGTGGGCAGTTCACCTGACTAATAATATTATTGGCCATGTCATGTGGCTTTCCAGAAGGCTTTCTGTAGTGGCTAGAGTTGCTGTCCATTTCCATTTCAAGTATAAGCATAATAAGAAAAGAAAAAGACTTGGATGGCAATTTTTGTTAAAAAGTTGCTGTCCATTTCCTACAGATCAAATCTTGTAGGAAACATGCTTTGAAAATAACTGCAAATGGCTGTTGAGCTAAAAGAAAACTGCAGAGTTTCTTAAATTTTCATAAATTATGATTGCCAATCTAATGACAGTTAGTGTTCTTTGCAAAACATAATTGTTAGAAACATTTGCATATGGTATTGAGTAATTTACTCTTTAATACTATTAAATAAAATATAGGGGCAAAAAAGAGGCCACAGTTCATTTGTATCTTTGCGTGCACAATCACAAAAAAATTTAAGCTTTCAAGGAAGAGATTCACTTTCTTCTGCAACAGCATTTAAATTTTCCTCTTCATCTCAGTTTCACTTTATGTTTATTGCAGCTTTAGGACCACTTGAAACCCAGATTGCAGATGAAATCCTTTCCACAATGTGACAGTAAACTCAAGGGGCATTTTTGTCGCATAACCTGATGATGTTGAAAATGTCTGTTATGTCCATAGTATGCTGTTCAATATTTATTTTAATCTGTATTATAGTGTACGTTTCAAACTATTATAACATTTTATGCTGTATTTCTTCTGTTTAGGCTGACAGCTAGAACATTCAAGCTAATTTTTGTTTTATGAGCAATCTCATATTTTTCTGTATAATAAAAAATAGGTTAAATAATGAGAAATACCCTGTACCAGGCTCATGGTCAGTGTAGAGGAGCAAAAGAAGCAAGTGAGCAGTGAAATAGCAAATGAGTGTAAAACAGCAGAATGATAAAGGGGAGATCCTGTAGACAATATTTTCTAAATGCCTCAATCTGCCCACTACCCTGTCACTTCCTGAAATACCATTTCTCGGGTCAAAATTGCAAAATTTCAGGAGGAGCAGTGTCGGGGGGTTTCACATGCTCTAAACATGTTTGTTACACTCTGTGCTCTGTGAAGTCAAATAATAATATTGTTGATTAAGTAAACTGTCACAATTGATCATGACCAATCATAGCCGGGTATACCAACAGCTGGTATATACACTGGAATGAGGTATTGAAAACAATTCTTACAAGCTCCACTACTCTGTCTCTTCCCAGCCCTCACATGGTTTTTGCCCAATTTTTCTCAATCCGCATTTCTCGCTATCTTGGAACCTGGAACAGGCTAAATGGGGAATTGCTTGCATGGCTAACCAGCACCTGTGTCAAAGTTTCAATTTTTCTTACTGACATAGTAAAGAAAACTTATTGTATGCAAAAGATATCTGTTATAAAAAAACAAACGACCTATTCTCTATGGATTTTTTTGTTACTTTAGAACTCATCAAGAGCTTCTTTTATTGGTATATCATGTACATGTAATACAGGAACAACTTTATAAACACAAATATGTTTATCCTGTGTAACTGCCACGAGTACATGTATTTCATTTTTCACATTACCTCTTTTAATAATATTGTTGAACTTTGATTAAAATAAAATTGCATTAATATTTTGTTATAATATTGTACAACTTAAACTCATAAAATATCACTGTATTAAAAAAGGAAAATCTCAATAATCTCTGTCTTTTCAGTCCAGATGAATTGGTGGTGTAATACTATCATGGCCACCTCACAGTGAGTACAGTGTCTACAGAGTGGCAGGTGTCAGAAGAAGAAGATGAGGCAGGCATGCAGTTTTCCTCTCCCCTTCCCTTCCCTTCATGCTCCTGCCATGCAGACTATTAAGATTGACTAGACTTTCTGAAAAAGCACTGCTATTGAATCAAACTATGGACACAATCCTGTGGTATGGCCGTACACTTCTGATCTCTTTGGCAGTCTCTCTGTATGATGCTCTTAGAACTGATTTTCAGGAAACTAAACAATAAATTCTGCCAATCAATAGTTTTTTCCTTGAATAAGCTAATAAGCAGTAAATTGCTATGATTATTTCATGCTGGTTTGTTAAAAGGTTTATCATAAAAGTCCCAAAAGTTGTCGTCATCATCATCAGCAGGAATGTCAATCGGAGGCGGCAAGGACGGAGGAGGAGGAATTTCCTCAGGCATAACTGTATTTTCAGTGCTTGAAGGTTTTTGTTCCTTCTTCTGTGGCTTTGGTTTTAGATTGGATTTCTTGACTTTAGCTTGAGGAGGAGATTTCTCGACCTTTGGAGTTACTTCTTTTGGTACTTGAGGTTTCCAGTCTGCTTTATTAAAAAATAGAGTAGAAAGAAATGTTACTAAAAGGATTAAAATGAAAAAATTATGGCAGCCCCATTCAATCAGTGAAAAAATTAAGTATTGGCCCATAATTGTGTAATACAACACAATACAGGTCTAATGTTATTCACTAGTTTGTACAAGTGTGATGTGGGTCCCAAATTGGCACTAACTAGACCCTAGTGGTGTATGTGCCGATCATCGATTACAATCTATCTTTAATCAAAATCTTTTAATAAGAGCATTGCAGTAATGAATTATGGAAAACGTTCAATTGATTATTGCGGGATAAAATTTCTTTTCGGCTAATAAACATATTAAAAACTTGTGTGATAAAAATAATTTTTTTAATTGAAGACTAGAAAAATCCAGTGTCATCTGCTAGAGTGAAGTGGAGCAAAGCTGTACAAAATACAATACCAGGTAACCAGTGTCTGAACACATCACCATGTTGTGGCTGTAGTGCAACCGTGAACAAAGTCTTCTAGGCAGTTGTTGTGTTTACAGTTTCCATAGAAACTGTGACACTATGCAGACAGGTTGTGTCCATAATGTCGGCAAGTAAGAAAAGCGATAATTCTGAAGGCCAGATACAAAATAGTTTGCAAACATAGGAGAGTCTATTATGCTCTAGTTGCTGCTTGTCAATTTATCAAATGAATTTAATTTTTTTCCAGTCAAAAGATCTTTTTTTGCAAAAAAGGGGTAATTGTGAGCATCAGCAAGCTTGATAATAAGTGTGATCTGTTGCCTTAAAAGGATTATTTTTCTTGATGCAAGAAGTCACACTTCATTTTCTTTTCCACGCTAGTCACCAGCACCCTACATATGAAGGTGAAGCGCAGCTTAATGCGTCAGATAAATAAGCGTGACCTTTCGCATCAAAAATGTTTTTCTTCTATGCAAGAAATCACACTTTGTTGTCTTTGACAAAAGTAGACATAGCAATCTCCATAAGACTTTTCTTTCTGTGTTGGCATAATGCCGACAAAATCGCAGGTGCACAACAGAAATAACAAAAACTGTAAACATGTGCTCTCTCTAGAGAGCTACTTTTCTTTGTGTCATCAGTCAAAAGAGCTGTTTGGCAACTTAAACCCAGGCTCAGTATATAGAGTTATCAATTTACTTTTTCTGCTTTTTGATCAGAGAAAATTAGAAGGCAATTAACAGTTACCTGCCTGTTTAGGTAAGGTATCAAGGTAGGCATCCCACTTTTTCTTCATTCTTTCATGATGTACATTAGCTGCAGACCACTGTCCAAATTCATCAGTCTGAATTCCAAAGAACTTATCCCTCTGTGATGATGGTGTAACCAGCTGCTCCGTGAAAACTTTAGCCGTTGTACTATGCCACTGATTGTTGCCTAGGCCCGGGAAAACGTTAGATCTCAACGCCATTGACAGATTGTTATAGTTTCCAGAACGTTTTAGTGAACTATCATCGACTGAGTGCTTGTGGCGAGAAAGTCTGCTGTCAACAGTTCTTCTCTCCTCTTCTCTCCTCGTCGTTTTCTTATTCACGTTTGCAGTTGCCGGTGAAGAAAGCGGCTGTAAATTGCTAGAGTAAAGTTGAGGTTTCACCTCCCTCCATCTTCCGTGTCCATCTTGAACGATACGCCTTCTAGAGTATAAGTTTATGCTTGGTAAATCGCTTTGTCCTTTTTTCAATTCATTGCTTGCTCTTTTGGGCGGAAATTGGGGTCTGATGTATTCTTCAATATCGAATAAAGTTTCCGAAGAGACTATTTCCGCCAAAGCAGCTTTTTGTTCCTCTGAAAGGCCTTTGATTGCCATAACTTATTTTCATGGTGAATCTGACGACGAAAACGTGTAACGTTGTTTTGCTTTGCTTCAAAGTGTGGTTAAAGCCCAACACTCTCTGTCCCCTTGTCCGCCATATTTGCGTTGCATGGCAACTGACACGAACAATCCCATGTAGCTGTTTGGCCCGAGAAAGTCCTGGAAACCAGTGTGATTGCCTGAAGTCTAAAGTCTAATCCCGGCTAGTCGTAAAGTTTGGGCTCTATAAAATATTTGTTGGAAACAGGGTTTCAGCGGGTTTTCAGGCATTATCTACGAGGTAAGCTGACTCTCTTAGGTTACAACGGTATTAACTAGCGGGGTTGAACTTTTGTTGACTGAAAGGAAACCGACTTGGGATCGATATATATGTGAATGTCTGAGTTGTTTCATGTTTATTGTGACATTCACCCACACCGATCGATCATTGTGAGACGTTCAAGAAAACTGTCAATAAATAAAAAATTTAATTTGAAGCTACATAAATATACCGTAAAAATGCTGATAGGCTAAATAATTTAAACATCAAGCTAAAAGGCTATATTGCAATATTGGCATGGAACCACAGGTAGCCCAAGCTCACTATGAGAGCCGGCCTAAGCAACACTACTCAACTTAGCTAATTAATATTTATTTATACGACTACAATAAACGTGTGAGAATTATTCTTTAGCCTAGAAATGAGTGAAATGTGGCATGAATGTGCCCTAACTTTCTTTCAGGCCTCTAAGGTGCACTTTTTTTTTAGCAAAGATTTTTACCCAGGCCGTGGTTGTTAAAATGTTGGATAGCGCCTTCCACCGGATAAATCACTATCCAGCGGATAAGTACTGGGGAAACTAATTGCACTATCCATCGGACAGAGATTTATCTGGTGGATAGAGCTATCCAGCCTTTGAACATGTACAACCAATGCCAGATGAGCATAAGGATGCTTCCCATATCTATGGGTTAATCTGCAGTGCCTCTGCTCTCTGTTCGTCTGAAGTTGTATGAACCATGTGCTATGCCCCTAGTTACTGGTTTGCACAAGATGTCACGGTAGCCATGTTGGTGGAGGGGGTGTAAGGGTTTGCGGTGATGCGGTTTTGCTCGATTTTGGGTGCGATTTTGCAGAAATTTTGATTTTAATTTGCAGTACTGTGTTTTTACAAAACCTAGCGGTTTGCCGTATGTAGAAATTTTCGGGTAATTTCAATGCAGTTTGTGGGTTTCTTATGTTATTCTGTGCGGTGTTTATATATATTTCTGTGTCGTTTTGCAGCGTTTGTACCCCCCTTCCCCCTCTCTTGGTGGTCAAGAATAAAAGCATTTCTCTCCTCTGGGAACTAAACTCTATTTTCATGTAAATTCTCTGAGAAAAAATTGTATTGACCCCAACATGGCCGCCTTGTCACATGTTTGCAAACAAAGAATTTGGCCCATCTGATTAAGCACATGCATGCATGCATTTAAAACGTAAAGACTGAATTCAAAAATTTTTTCTAGGTATCTAATAAAGAATGGCTCATCGTTTGACTTCTCATCACAGAGCTCTGTTTTCCCCAAAGTACTTGTCTGGAACATCAGCTCACATCACAACAACGTCATTTTTTAGAGCCCCATTTGATGTGAAGAATAGTGAGGACTTTCAAAAAAGAGTTCTTGCCTCTGCAAAGCCTGTCCTTGTGGACTTCCATGCTGAGTATGAAGGAATTCTTTTTAAACTTTTCTCTACTTAACTGGTTTTGCTTTTTGCTTTTCTGAACTCTCATAGCTGTTTTTGGTGTTGCATGTAGAAGCTTATAACCATAGGTTATACCGACAAGAGAGAATGATAGGACAAAGAAGGAAACACCCAGTTTAACCCTTGGGATATGTGAATTTCCCAAAGTTATGATTAGACCAATTAAATGCTTGAAATTAATCAGAAGTTGGTTTTCTGGAGAGGTCTGCAAACTTTTATTCATTTTAGTCAAGAGAGAGTGATGGGACATTATGCTTGCAGTGTAATAATTTTCTGGTAACATGTACCTGCTATGTTTTGGCGACGGGCCCTAACACCAATCAAAATCCCTCAATTACATGATGTAGTGATCTACGAATAACAGCCAATCGAATCATTCTCCACACATTCCAGGAAAAGTGAATCACAGACGCCCCTTCTCCGATTTTTACTGAGGGGAGAGGGGGTCTGTACACAGGCTATCTCTCTTGATACTGATGAAATAACGTCAAAGAAGTAAAGTAACAAAGTTCCCTTTTTTAAGGGAGGTGTCTCATGGTGGCATGCTAAAATTTATCCTATGCTGGTTATAAAATTTACTACAGATGTATAAAATCCCTTTGATAATATCTAGACTGCTAGTAGGTGGCTGAATCATAATTAAAAAAGCTTTCACAAAGTCCTTCATGGTCACGTGTTTTTGTTTTGCCACCTACAAAAGGCATTTAACTTGCTTGCAGTATGCCAATTTTAGGGTCATTCAAAATATTATAGCTGCAGCCAATCAGATCAGTGATGAATACAAATTGTCAATCAAAAGTAATCCAGCACTGCTACATTTCATTGTTGTCACACAACCTTTGTGACTAGAAATCAATAAAGTACCAACCCCTGACTTTGATTTGGATGGAAAACTGGATTCAAAATCCTTCAAGTGGGACAAGTTGACCTCTCACAAATGAATCCCCACTTGAATCATTTCGTACCCTCATTAAGGCTTTATATGGTAACTGACAAAGTTTTACCCCTTTTCACTGATAATAAGAGGTCAACGTGGTACAAGTCTAGAGTGAGTACTGGGTGAATCACTTAAACAAGCTTGGAGATAATATATTGTAGAATATTGCAGTTCCTAACATCAACTGACACTGTTTTCACTTGTTATAAGTCACTTGATTTTAAAAATTTTTATCGGCAGCTTCTATAATTTACAGCCTTTTCTTATTATTTTATTAATAATGAGATTGAAGGGTGCACAAAAAATTTGTATGACTTTGCATCAAGCTCTTAAAATTCTAATTTTTTCGCGTGCTTTTTGTCCCATTCTACTGAATATAATTTTAGTTTAAAAAAATTATTCTATTTTGTAACTTTAATGTTGTACTTGTTCCATTGTATACCAAAACTAACAGCACATCATAGTTACCAGTTTGCTTTTTTGTGTTATTTTTATAATCTATGGAAAAGTACATAAATTTTGTCTCTTTTTTTTATAGGTGGTGCCACCCTTGCAAGTTGTTGGCCACAAAGTTAGATGACATTGTTGGGCAAAAGAATGGATTGCTAGAACTGGCCAAAGTCGACATAGATAATAATGCTGATTTAGCTCTTGAATATGAAGTGAGTATCTTCAGATAACACCAGTGTGTACTCCCTACATCATATGTGCCAACTCTCCCGGTTACTGCACTGATCGCCAGTGCTTTTGACCTTTTTTGTGCTTTAGTTTGAAATTTAGCCCGTTTTTTCCTCAAAATTCGAACTGTTTTTTTTTTCATATTTGTACTGTTTCTGGAACATTTTTGCACGTATAGTCACTGAAAAAGATTATTTCGTCATTACATTGATTAAAGAAAATTTCAGTAGTATGTACTTCCTGTAAACCTTCCTATAATGTCCTAAGCCATAGGTCAATTTGTGGGCAGGGGGGGTTCATTGACATTCAGAGGGAGGGGGTAGTACAAAAGAGAGCGTCTCCAGTCTACGTTTCTGTATAATGGACTGTTACCACGGGAGTTCTTTGCACTAATGAAAGGGAGACTTTTCTCAGGTATACAAAATGGTAGAGATTTTACGAGTCAAGGTTTTTAAAAGGGGTTACGAGAACTGATTTGTGGGGATCTTATCTTCCAAATAATTCTGAAGAGGCGTACATTGTACCCTACGGCTGATCCATTTTCAAATGTATTTTGAGCGGCTTTTGTCATAGAAAAAAGTGAGTTGAAAACGTCAAGTTATATTAAAAGAAACATTTGGATTCAAGGAAGAGGTAGAGGATAACTACAAGGGCGAGATTTAACTTCACGTTTTTGGAATACTTATAGATATAGACACTCTGGAAAGCTTGATTGTACTTTTTTTTTTCTCCAGAAAAGTTAGCAAGGTTATTTTTATTGAAGGAGGTTACGCCCTCTTCCGTCTGCAAAATGATAAAAGTACAAACTTCTAGCATTTGATAACTTGTTTCCGCCACTACGACATCTCGTAGTTAAGTGACGACGGCTATCACATTTGCCCGCCAAAATGCTGATTCACATGCCCGCACTCACGCGCGTAGTAGTGCGCACGCAATGCTACGCGTAGTCGTACTCGTCTTAGTATCTTATAAAAGGTCTCTATTAACGAAGTCGACAACGGCAGCCTCAAAAGGCAATAGGTTTAATAAGCAGAACACTAACTCTGCACTTGCATCGCTCTTTTTGGTGTATTTCTTTACCCAGCTCTACTACGACGTGATATTTTCTATTGCCACGTTCTACGTGGGCCGAGCACACGTTCCAAAGAATACAGGTGGCCTTATCACAAATGTATGGGCTGGTGGCTGGTCCTAAGTTTCGAGGATGTTGCTTTAGGGTTGGCTGTTAATTACCGTTAGCATAGGTTCGACTTTTAAGTATTAAAATACGTGAATGTTGACGTTTTCTTTCTTGGTTAGGTCAAAGCGGTTCCCACTGTACTTGGCGTAAAAAATGGAAAGATTATTGACTCGTTTCAAGGAGCAGTAGACACTGACCAGCTGAAAAGATTTGTGGACAAGTTGTTACAATAGAGAACACTGCAACTATTGTGCGACAGTGCTTTCATTGCACCGCGTGGAGACAAAGACATGTCAAATGCTGGTCTGGTTTGAAGTTCTTTATATGTAAATAAAGTGAGGAATAGACTCAAGATTGAAATACCGTAGCCTGAGAAAACAGCCGACATTTGGCGATGCTACCACTGGTTTCCCCGCCAAGTGACGTCTTAGAAACGAGCGCAAAAATTCCATACCGACGACGCGTCACTACCCAGATCTGGGTATAGTGCTTCTGATTGGTTGAATCAAATTTCCCACGCGGCACGACCAATCAGAAGCACTAGCCAGATCCGGGTAGTGACGCGTCATCATTATGGAATTTCTGCGCTCGTTTCTCAGACGTCATTTAGCGGGGAAACCAGTGGTGGCGTCACCAAATGTCGGCTGTTTTCTCAGGCTAGAAATACTGAGGCTCACCCTTAAGGCTACATAACAAATATTTCCCCTAGAGTGTGATTATAAGAGGAGGAAATAAAATACAAATTTACACGTTAAGAGGGCGTATTTTACAGAGATGCACACGAAAAAGTACGCAGATATGAGAATTAATTTTTGTACACCAATTTTTAATGTTAGCAAAATAAACACTTAATTTTATCTAAAGTTACTCAATAAATTGTGCCTGTCGTCTGCCTTTCGGTACTTTCCTAACGTCTGAGTCTCTGTATCCCTGCAAAATGTCTTCCTACTATACGAGCAGCGGTCGTTTTTTAGTGTGTGAACCATGCCTGGCCGGTATTTGTATGCGAACCAGTGGAACTTCCAAATCATATCCTTGATTTACTGATGAACAATCTTCATCGCCAAACAACGTTTTTGAGTGGCCGGCCTCCAGTGGGGTGAGTGCAGTGGCGACAAACAACAAACTAGCAAAAGCCAGAAAACATATCACAACACAACGGTATGGAGGGGGAACCAGTCCACCAAACTTGCCGAGGTGTCGAATCTCGCCCACCAAACAGAGGAGGCAGTCCAAAACAGCAACAAAAACAAACAGCGTCAAGGTGAAGAACAGGAAAAAGACAGAACTGCAGGCCAGGAGTTCCAGGAAACTTGGCAGGAACACCAGGAGGAAGTTTTTTGGTCTCGACACGAGCCAAAGTTTCCGACGGACGCTCGATGTCACTATGGAAACACTTGGCAAACCGGTCGTACTCAAAACTTGTGGTACCAACCATGATATTACGGGTCAATTGGCCAAAGTTGACACCTGGAAGTGCTGGCCCAAAGAGGGTCGTCAAACATGAACGCATACTTTGTAGGCAAGAGAGACTTTGCAGGAGTAGAGGCAGCAGACGAAACAGAGGACGAGACAGAAGCTGTGCAAGACCGAGCGGCATCAGCGGCATCAGGCAGGAGAGCAGCAGGACTGGAAAAAGGAAATTTTGGGGACGGAGATGACTTAACGAAAGCTGTACCACGCTGAGGGACCGGAGCAGTTGCAGCGGGCAGCGAAACAGGCGGAAAAGACACAGGTGGAACACCAGTTGTAGACCGACGCGGAGGATCAAGATCAACCGTGCCAGCCCTAATTAACATCTTTGATCGTATGCTCTTCAATCTCGATGACAACCGCATTTACGGCTTAGTTCTGGCCGACTTCCAAAAAGCATTCGATCTGGTAAGCCACAACATCCTGATTGAAAAGCTGCGTATCTATGGTCTTCATGAATGCAGCTTGAGTCTTATCCACTCCTTCCTTCACAACCGCATGCAGCGCACGGTCATCCGAAGAAGTGCACAATCCTCGTCCCAGACTCTCACGCATGGAGTACCACAGGGGTCTGTACTCTCCCCACTGCTTTTCCTGGTATTTATAAACGACCTTCCCAAGGGAGTGTCGCAACCAACCACAGTTGACATCTTCGCAGATGATACTGCGACTTTGAGTTTGTCCTCGCCATACACAGATACTTCTGGACTATGTTCTAAACTCTGTGAGAGCACCCGTGAACTCGTGAACTGGTCTAGAAATAACCGTTTCAACTTGAATACCGAGAAGACAAAGTCTATGTTTGTAACTGGAACTAGGCTACGCACTAAAATCGATGGTACCAGTGTCGATGAGATGAGAATCTTTACCAGTAAAGGGGAAGAATTAGACAACACCACAAGTTACGTGGAGTTGATGTTGATCAAGACCTCAGCTTTAATTAACATGTTGAACAACTATGTAAGAAACTGACAAAACGGATAGTCTTCTTAGATCGATCAGGCAATATATATCTTCCTCTAAACGAGCGCATACTTTTTTTTTAGTTTTTACAACGCAACTATTAAGCCTGTATTACTATACGGTGGAATATTAGACGTCGTCCCCTGCGTCAGGTTTCCACTCTCTTCTAACTTCCAGCGGACAGGAAGAAGAGAGACCCTAGGTACGAGAATGATGACGTATTAGAGACACCGACCAGAAGAAGGAGCCAGACAGCCATTGCAATTTATACGTTTTCTAACTAGGCAGAAGAACTCACGCCTGCTATAATTTGTAGTCAGCTTTATCCGTGAATGCTTATGGTATCAGGGCATGGTCCAAGCGTAAGCACTAAATCCGCATGCTAAAATAACACTTACGCTGACCACTTGAGATGAAGCAGCGGCATTACAGAGATCTTCATTGCAGCATATTACTTCACAGTCACTCATGTATGTGTTTACTCCGCACATATTATCCGCGGGGTCCTTGCAATGTAAATCACTGATACATGACAAATTATAAATATCTGTCTCATTATATTTATAATGAGACTTTCCGCATTGGTATCCTTTATCACAGTCAGTGGTTTGTTGTTGTTTTATGCAGTCCTCAAACGAGATATAAGTTGAACAGAAATTGCACTTCAGGCAGGTTACTGAAAAAAAAAATAGCACATTTTATTTTATAAATAGTCCAAAATGTACGTAGTTGTTAACACAGCGATAAACCGCAGACCACTAACTGACCCTTCATTTTCATGGCTAAACACCCTGAGGTGGGCGAGGTAGTTCCTATAATGGTCTGTATGGGTATACCAACCTCGTCCCCAGGGCTTTTCCCTTAAGGGAAAAGCCCTGGGGACGAGGTTGTGGGTATACGTAGGCTCCGCCCGAAAGGGTATTTTTGGGTGAGTTAGGTATATGGAAGGTTAGGAATTTCAATAGTTGAAGTATATGAAAGGGTAGGAATCTGTCATTTCGGTCTTTACTATGACCTAAAAGGGCTCCAGAAGGATTTTTGTGGCTGTGAAAAAGTTGGTTGTGGGATTTAATGATGACAGTGAATTTACAGCAGTTAAAAGGATGCAAAGATCTAAAATTGGTATGTGAAAGGGGTACTCGGTATTAGTCAATGGAAGGTGTTCGAGAGGGGTACCTTTTTTTTTCATCAGAAATGGCATTTAAAAGAGTTAGAAGTTGGACCTCGCGGCGGAGCCTCCCCTTATAAAACTTTGTTGAATAAATATACCCCCCGGGCTTGACACCTTAAATGCGCTAAAAACGTTACCGCTGATACGGAGGAAGCTTAAATCTGGAATTTGTCAAAGTTTAATAACTTCAGCTTCAGACTGTCAGAGGTTTCTTTGAAAAAATCCGCCCGCCCAAACTGATCTCTCTGTTATTGCGACCATGCAACCTTACACTGACCTCACACAACTTTGGCAAGGAGTCAATTATAAAGACACGGAATGCATTTAAATTTTGAGGACCTAAAAACAAGTAAATCCAGTGGTGTGACCGTTCAAATTAAACCTCTCCATTAGCACCGTTAAATGGTTAAAAAAATGAAATTTGGGAAATTTCTCGAATTTTGATTTAGGGCAGCGTGTGCATGGATCGTACGATTTACCGCGTCGAGATGAAAGCTTTTCCGTCTGGAAATGACAACAATTTAAAAAGGTTAAAAATTCTTAATCATGAAGCATATTTTGTTTTCTTTGTTATTGCCGAATCCAGGCTTCCAGTAAGTCTTAATCAGTCGGTGTCCCAGGGAGAGGGAAAGGGATACATAACCCAGCTTGGCATATCATGGGTGCAGCTGAGGGTTTAAAAATAAAAACCTTGTAAACATACGCTCAGTTTTTGCATGCTGTTTAGCGAAGAAGAAGCAAAAAATGAAGGCTCTGTTAAGGACAAGTTCGCTAACCATTTTTTTCCTCGTTCTGGACAGAGAGCCTCAGCAAGCGACATGTCCCATCGAGGAAGAGCCGCCAAAAGCAGCCCCTTCTCTCCCCTTCCCCACTTCGACTCTTTTCTTCCCTTTCACTGGTTCATTAAAAGCTTTCGAGTTCGGGAGGTTTTTTAAGATCCGGACGCTGTGAATTCTCTTCGCAGACTGAAGATTTTTAGATGAAATAAGTGGCTCTAAAAAGATCCAGACAGGATTTCAAAGATATTGCAAATGTAAGATAGCTGAGAAGTACAGTCTGTACAACAGCATTATAAGGATGAACATTAAATGAGTGTAATTTACAGACGTGATGTTATCTACTTACTGTTAAAAACTGAGCTTTAAATTATAATTCTTCGGGTAATTGTTAAATAAGGGCACAGGTTTATTTGACCTGACGACTGTTGCTCTGTAGATGGAATGAGGGCTGGAAAGGTTTCTCTCCTCAGCCAGTTGTAAGGAGATGATACCGATATCTGGCTAGAGAATGAAAATTTAAAAGGTACGTAAAATCTTACCGCAGAAGAACATAACACCGGCAAGTAGAAGAACAGCTGAAAACAGATGAAAATTCATGATGTCCATGATCCGATAAGATCCAGAATGTTCGATTGCAGTCAGACGGAAGTGCGTATAATAAAATACTGAACAGCCGGCATGGCCTAACAAGAACCTTATGCAGTAAATGCTTCAATCAAAATAGTTGCTAAATTAAGCAGTGGGTTCTGTGGTGATATTTATAGCCAAACAGTAGGAATTAGTCGAACCAAAGATATTTAATACACTTTGTAGCTTTTGGATTGTGTTTTTTTAATTTGTTTGAAGTTGTTGTTGTTGTCATGTATACCTTGAAACGAAAAGTAAAAGGAATCACTGACGAATGATAAGCTCGCATTTTCTTTCTAGCTGAAGTCAACTCAACTAAAATTACCCTGAGGCCGACTGATTCAGAGATTGTTGTTTGGCTTGTGTTTTTGTTCATCTCGGTGTCTAAACGTATTCTCCTACAACCTCAGATCTAAGCAAAGATTGACAACGATCAAAAGGCAATGGAAAAGGGCCGGGAGGAGCCTATCTATCTCCAAATTCGACCAATTACATTTTTAGTTTACACTGACCCCCTCTAACCCCACCACAACCACCACACTTTCCCCCCATCTGCAAGTTGCACGACAAACAATTGGGGTCAAATCTGCGAGAGGCATGATCATGGATTTTACCGCATGTAAATCTGCAGGCCTGTTCTGTTTTTGCTTCTTCTTACAAGGTAAGAAAACATGATTAGGGTTTATAAGGTGTAGAAGTAGTCCATGACCTCGACCATTGCGAGAAATCACGGCAAAATTGATTCGTGATCAATATGTGAACATTTAAAAAGGGCCCTGCGTAGACATGACTGCTTGAAAAGGACGGCTTGACCCAGATTGCCTGTAAACTAGCTATCAAAACAAAATGAAAAATAGTAAACGCTTTCCCAAGCCAAGATGATAAATGTCTCAATTAACAGTGGGTAACGTTCCGACGCTCACGGGCATAACAAAAAACTGAAACTTTCACTAATTAATCAAATTATTTTTTGTCTCCTTCCTTTTTCCAAATTTTCAAACTTTAATATTAATTTCTAGAGTTATAAAACATGGGAACTCGCATCACAACTTCTCGTATGTACTGTCTCATTCATGGGTGTACAAAAAAAGTCTCGAAATTCACATTTATTTTCGTAGTCTGTTTCGGGTGTACTTTAAAATGTTCGCACAAATTATTTTTGTTTTACTCTCAGAGGGAAAGATTAAAACCACAAAACCCCCAAAGGAGATGTTAATTTGTGTTTATTATTTCTCACAAATAGCCACGATGGCAGACAATAGGTTTCCGGTGATATACAGTTTGTCCTTTGTCTTAATATCGCCTTAAAAATATACTAATTGTTTCTTTTAGTCCAGATTACCCTTTATCTTACATCTGCTTTCAGCTGTGTTCTCTCTAGAGTGCTACACATGCACAAGCGACGATTCCTTCCACTCCTGCAACATTAAGCGATCCAATGAAACGTGCCAGACACGAGCTAAATGCGGCAAGCTTTCATTCGATCTACCAGAAGGAAGCAGATATAGGAAAGGCTGTTTATCTGTGATATACTGTGCTGATCCTGATAGATATTGCCAGAGTATTATTGGTGCGGAAAATTGCCATGTATCCTGCTGCTCAAAAGATGTTTGTAACTCAACGACCTCACGCGATTTGAATTCTGTTCTTCTGTTTTGGAGTCCCTTAATTTCGGTCAAATTTGCTCTGTTCTACGAGCTGTTTTTATTTCAGAGTAGAACATACCGGTATACACTTCATCCAAACTAATCTGAAAGAGACAGTGTTATCTCAAAGCCGACCTTAGAATCGAATTTGCTGACATGGGTATGTTTTACACAATTTGTTCAAATGAGTTCCACGAAGTGTTCAGCGATGAACCTGCTAGAAAGAACTCTGTTTTTAATGCTGTCTCTAAGATAAACGCGTGAGTCAAGTGTAGTAGTAATAAGTTAGGATATAAAAGAACGTGACTAGGGGACAAATTTGGCGTGTAGCGTCGAACTCTTTGTTTGGTAGTGTAACGTAGTGACAAGAAAGGCCTCCTGGCAAGCAATCAAGAGCTAGCGGCCTGTGAAAAGTTATTATCTGGGAGGGTTGACAGGGGAGGCTTTCGCCACCTCCCTTCATCTTCTTTCTGTTTTTACCCCTGCCCCTCCCTCTTCCATATCTTTTTGGGCCTTTCCCGCCTTTTCTACGCCCGGGAAGTCTGTTCAAAGGCTAAATAACGTTAGCCCAGTTAACGAGTCCTCTCCCCTATCTTATGAACAACCCTCTAGCCCCCTTTCTCCTTCTAGTAAGAGCCCAGGCCTCTCGACCGAGCTACAATCACGGACAAAAGTAGTTGTGAAGGTTGCACATCTTAACACCATTATTGGTCCATTTCAAACGCCTTATATCGATGTACAACAAAGATTATTTGTTCTTTTCCTAAATGTCCCCCGTCCCCCCTATTCAATGTTGGGACATTTTAAGAACAATTACGCACGATCCATGGCGGAGGGCAAGTAGAAGGGAGGTGAAGATTTTGTAGCCCAAGGTCCTTAGTCCAGCTCCAGAGCCCACAGCGCTCACCTGTTTTTTGACCGGGGGGTACATCCTGGGAATTCTTGGTGGGGGTTTGCTTCTCCAAAACTTGACCTTTTTTCAGACAAAAACAATGTAATTTTCCGCACCCGTTTTCATACCAGACCTCTAAGCATACCTTTTTTCAGACCTGGCCTTTAGGCAGAAATTATGTTATCATTACTTAGATTAGAGCGCAAACAAAAAAATTCTTCAAATCTATTTCGAATTCGCATATTTCTCCTTCTTTCTTACTCATTAATTTGGAATTGAAACGATAAATACGTTCATACACTCCTGTAGTTCCCTCGAAAACCATACCCGATTCCAGACCAAAATGGGCAAAGTGTATACCCGTTTTCAGACCAAAACGGCGCAAAATTAAACCCAACCCGATGGGGCGGCACATACCATTGTAGCTTATATAAGAGAGTACCTTCCCTCCCCCCGGGGGGAGGGGGGGGGGGGTTGAAGACATTCTTGATTCTGGAGCTCTTTATGTTTTTGGCAACAGAATGCTGTATCCACGGGCGACACACGCGTTACTGTAATAACACAGCCTTTCAGCAAGGCTAGGCTGCCCTTTATTTCTTACGATGACTTCGCTCTAGAGCGAGGCTAACAGTACCATCTACATCCACAGGGAATTTTAAACACTATCATAGATTATTAAGTTCTAAATAATGATCTAAACATAGTTATATTCAATTGATTAAACACTTAGCTAGATGACGAAACTTGCGAAATCAAATTAAAGGCCAATTAAAATGCAAAAAATACAACGAGCCGAGTCCTATTCTGACAGTGTTCAAGAGGTTCCTTCTAGGTGGTTATTGTTTAGATAAGCAATTTGATCATAAGTATTGCATAAGCTGCGCATATTGCAGTAAGGAACCCGCTGACTCCCAAGGCACCACTCGCATCAACCCAATCGCAGACTTCAGAGTCTTCGTCATCATCCTTGTCGTCACCGGTGTTAAATTTCTGTGTGTAAGCAGTGTTGTTGTAATTGCAGAATTCTTCAGTGCAGCATAGGATCTGGCATTCTTTAGCATCTCCCAACTTTGAAGAGACACTCCGGCAAAAAAAATCTTTATCATCACAAAAACTCTGGTAGACACAGCTTTTTCCGTAAACCCGAACGCCAGATCCATTGATAAAAGAGAATATTCCGCATCGATCAGCTCCCCATGGAGCATGGCTTTTACAATGTTCTTTCTCGATCTTGTCATCACATACGTCAAGGGAAGACTTCATGCCTCTACACACATAGCACTGGAAGCCATCCACTGCATTAAAATCATACCAGGAAATATATTATGATATTATTAATTTAAAACATCAGTCACTCTAGTCTTTCCTGATTTTTATACCTTCTTTAGGGCGTACGAGGGCAGAGGAGATGCTTTAGCTGAGTCAGACTCTGAGCGAGTTGTTAAGGTAGAATGTTTCGCGCTCCTTATGCGGCTTCGCCGGTAGCTTGTTACGCGTACTACAAACTAACCTGTTAACCTCTCAGATTAACCAACATTCAAATGCTCCTTTATATTCTAGTAACAAGAAGCTTGAGAAACTACATGTAATCCTTCCGAAGATCGACTTAAAATTCCAAAACTCGTTTTAGCGCTAAAATATCATTTAAAATTTTAAGTTCTGTGCCAGAGTTGTTACGTTTGACAATATGTACTTCTTTTTGGGTTAATCTCTTTCCCCTCCCTCCTCAGCTGGCCGGTTCCCTCTGGGTAATCCAATGAAAATAGGAATAGAGAAAAAAAAAACGCCATACGACACAAAGAGACCTCTGCAGTGGAGCTAAGTAAATGCAATCTTATCATCTGAAAGCCTCGTTGAATACATGGAGCCCAATCTAAACAGAGCCAGCCATTTACTAGTATACATGATGCTGGAGAGAAAGGAGTTTGTTGTTGTTGTTGTTGTTTTGTTTCGTTTGTTCTCAGTTTTTTTCATATATCATTATTATCAGTTAAGTCGTCCCTTCACTAGTCTGAACTATCACACGTCTCCACCCCTTTAACCCCTCTCCACACCCCCCACGCGTTAGGCCGTGGAGACGTCTGACATTTTCGTGACTATCCCTTTACTAGTTTCCTTCTCCGGCACTGACGGAGACTAAGCCTTGTGCGTGATATTGTGAAAAGTACTATCGAGGAGCCGAAAATGCTGACTTTGAAGCATTATCATTAATATCACGCGTGTATATGCGGTGATACCAAAATTAATAAGTTTAAATACTTTGCCGTAATCATGTTCTGTTTTGAGGCAGGCGAATCATTCAGAAGTCAATGAACCATCGGCCCCGTACAACATTTGTCCAGAAATATTTAAGATTCCAAAGCGACTAAAGCAATATATTGCAATTAAACACCTCTTTATGCCAAGGAACTGAAATAGTTCCTCTAATGCCAAAAAGGAATAAATCTCGATGTTGGCCCTTAAATTCGGTTTCCGTGAAAGATACTTCACTCCTGTTAAGATCATTCAATAGTCATGTAAGTCAGGGGTATAACCAGCTGGTATATAAAGAGCGTAATAGGTTGTTCAGTCCAGAAGTACATCGCTCGTTGTGTGGGACATGCCACCTCATAGAACCAAACTGCGTTGGTAGAAACCACACGCTGAAGTTAATAGTTTCTTAACTCTAGTTTAGCGTGTACGTTTCCTGACCTGTGCTTGCTCACAACTGAAAAGAGTATGTTGTGCATTCGCAAGCAACCTGCTGCCAAGAGGATTTTCGTCCTTTAAAGTTACTAAAATGTTGGAAGAGACTTACCCGTAGTTATTAAGAATATCAAGGTACTGCTTGCCAACAGAAATGCTCTCATTGCTGATTACTTCGCGAGATCCTCTGCTTTCAATGTTTATGTTCGAATTTCTTTCAAGAGTAAATGTTCCGTGATTTTGGAATGTAAACAGTACTGAATAAAACAGGCTTTCTCATGTTCAATTAGGAACCTTCTGATAGGTTCATTAGTTTCATAATACTTGCACTGTCACTGTCTTGTTTATAAGAATAATGTTTTTCTCAACTTTTAATTCGTCTCTACTAACAACCTGATGTAATTTTGTGTTAACTGCCAACGTTCTTCAATCTTTCTTTCATACTGAAAACAGCCCGCGAAGAGATAAAAGAAATGCAGTTTTTATCCGGTGCCTTTCTTTAAGTAATGTATTCATTTTCTCTTTTCACAGCCATTACTAAAGTAAACAGTTACCATAGTGTATTAATTTAAGTTACTTTTCGTGTGTAGGATGGACAGTGTATACTTTTTTTAAAGGAACTTTTTAAACAATAGATTACGAGTAGCCTCTTATGTTTCTCGAGTGAGGAGTTAGAAGTACCGCTCGAGCGACTTTTTTTTTCAAACAAGGAAAAACTGATCGTGCCAAGGAAATAATTTTGAAGTTCTCTCATTTTCACAAATAAGTGCAAATGTAGGTTGCCTAAAACGCGTGAAAATCGCACCTCGAGTAAGCGGCAAACCGAGGAGAGTTAGTAGCTTGGACTTAATTGCACACGAAAAGGAAACGTGAAACACGGGACACGCGAGGAGGGGACCTGTTTGAACGCGAAAGGAAGGAGCGGAAATTGTTGTTTTGATGGATGCAGTTTTTCTGTTTTAGTAAGAAAACGATAATCAGTTGTTGACAATTTATGATGTTTCTTCCGCCTACCGACTTAATCCTCTCCCCGTTGATTTTCACCGTCTCCCCCTCAACCACCAATGTTTTGCGAGGTCCTGCCACTACTACCATGGTAACACTTTGAAAGGGGATAATTCAACTCAAAAATAAAGAAACAAAAAAAACCTGGCTGTACGTTTAAGAATTACGTGTGCGCGCTGTACACTCTGAACACAGTTAATTTTCATTTTTGTTTTCCGAAAATAACAATTGAGAATCGAGGGAAATAACTTTTACGTGTACAAATCATGAAAGTTAATTTCCGCGAGCCGTCAACAGTGCACCGCGACGTATGACGTCAAAGAATTTTGTAATGTAGCCCTCTCAGGGACTTCTGGCAGGAAAGAGTTTTATTGCTGAGAAAGATGCGTTTTTGACACAAAAGGCTCGGAAGGACAAATCCAAATTACTGTTACATGTCATGTGACCCTGAACCAAAGAGAGTGCGCGCTGTTGGGGAAAAGATCCAATTTTATAAGTTTGCAGGGAATGTACACTCCACTAAAAATGTTCTGCTATAAAATGTCTTGTTGCTGTTACTTGCTTAACAGTAGTAACAAGACTGATTTATTTCCTGTCAATTTTTAACACTTTTTTTTTTTGGGAAAGTTACAAGACATTTTTTTTTTACTTTTAGTATCCTTTCTTGTACAAAGTAGTTGGTAAGTATGATTACTTCCTAGATTCTAATACAAAACTAAATATCATCCACTGTCTGTCTTCTCAAACTGCTGATCACAACTGATTACTAAAGAAATTAGTCTTATTACAACTAACAGAAAGTAGCAGTTTAAGATGATATGTGAGTGCTTATGGAAAAGTAAGATGGGTGGAAATAGACTTTCGCCCAATAATTTTAATCATTGAAGCCTTCATAGTATGACAAGCGCCCAATTACTCCGTACAATTACCACTAGTTAGGTCAAAAAGGGTCATAAGAATAACGGAAATGTTCTCCTGATGAGAACAGTTCAGAAAAAGTATGAAAAACAGTGTACAGAAATTGCTTGTTGTAATAGGCGGGGGCTTAGAGGGGGTTTCGACTCTTCTAGAGGATTTAAAAAAAGACCACGCAAAAATAAGTACTGACACAATACTCAGTAACATAAGAGGTCAATTAGCCTACCACGGCATGATACTGTACTTGATACCGTGATATTTCACTTGCTTTAAGATCGGTTTATGGTTGGACATTCATGCACGTGTGGTCCACGCGCGATCACTGAGTTAAATGAGCCGCCAGAGAATCGCGCGTGAGCGTTCGCGCTTGTAAAACGTTCCGAAAGTGGGTTAATTTTAGTTTCTATTGATCAGTTAAAGAACATTCTGAGCAAGTCAGTCAATCATGTATCGTATCAAGGGTATCATTTTATCTTCAGGTATCCTGTTAAATATCGTATCAAGCCGTTGAAGTATTGTTATACCTATATAAACCATCTATAAACTATTATACAACCTAAGTTATGAGTAAATGAAAAATGTAACATTAGCCCATAAAGCAAGCATTTTTTAAATGAAATCTCCCCAATTCTCTGAAATGCCCCAATTCTCTGTCAGTTTCAACATCCAAGATGGCGGGAGAAAGTAAGTATCATTGTTTGCACTGCAAGATACCCTGTTTTGCAGGCTAATGTACCATAGGAACGAGAAGTTTAGAAAAGACACCCACTGATTACTGTAGAGTTTATGTAAAGCACATTTGAATACTTACAGCAATCAGGAGAAAAAAGTGGGCTTTGAAATTACTATTAAAATATATCAACGAACACTTTTAATCCGCTGATGAAAAACTTTTGATGAAGGTTTTGTAGTCCATAACTTGCCCCTCGCCTTCGTCAGTCATGTCTATAAAGTCCTGAAGGTTCATTGTGCTTTCTGTAAACAAAAATAACAACCCAAAAAATATTACTCAGCTAAAAATCTACAGTTTCAATCAATAACCATGTTTTCAAGGAAGGTAAGTCATCTGTCTGTCAGCAGTAGAAGGCTCAGTAGGACTGAAGCAAAGTAATTGACTTATTTGTGCTATTAATAAAAACCTTACAAACCATAATTTTTCCGAAAGGTTAAAGCTCAAGAGTACATCTTTTTCATTTGAAAGGAGGAAAATTTGAATATTAAATACTATTTCTAAGAAGAAAACGATTTTACAAATGTTTTTGTAATAAAAATAAAACTGATGCCCCCTGAATTTAAATGGTAGGTATTAAGTGAAACAAATAATCACTTTAAAAACACCGTAGCAGAATAGTCAAGATATCATAAAAAAACACAGGACTTCGAACCTCCCATAAGCAACCACTATAAACATTGCTAATGAGAATCACACCACAGGGAGTCTCTTCCAAGAAAAGGTTCCTACACATCTACTTTTTGGCAGATAATTTTTTGGCATGCAATTTCTAAGTTACCTAACATACATGTCATTCCATGTTGTCAAAGAAAGTTCTTTGTATACTCCGGGTGTAGTACATTACAAAGAGAGCACACCATGCATCAAGTGGTCACTTTATACAAGACGTTAAAAATAATAGAAAACTATAAAACTGTCAGCCCAAAAGGTGGTCAAGGTCGCCTATGAGAGGTGATCGTTTACGAGAAATTCTAATAATTATTATAAGGCTTTGACTAAGGCCGCTTCCAAAAGTCTGAACTGGCCAGCCAGCAGACCATGGCCGTACACACATTTTGGCAATGAAATAGGGTTTTTCCAAGAGGTTTTGCGGAAAAACCATCTCCTTTGTGTATAATATTTAGGATTTGACTGATGTGGATGGTTAGTTTTGATTAAAAGTCAAAATTCTCATTACAATGGGAATGGGCTGGCCAGTCAGTTCTGACAAATCGTAAGCGCCATAAGAAAATTTTGGTGTTTTTGATTGGTCGTTGCAAATGAGAGGTGGTCACACATGAAGGTTTGACTGTTTATAAAATTATTGAAGCTTTGATGTAATGAGGTGTACCTGCTGTTCTGATTGGTGCATATGGCGGTGGTGTTTTGATCCATTCACCATTTGGTTTCTTCATGTGCGACCGGTCTGAGGCAAAGGTCCGAAGAAATACCTCTGCTGGTATTACTCTGAATTTTCTGCAAGAAAGTTTTTAATGAAAATTAATATTATAAATGCTTAATAGGTGGGAGTTACGGATTATACAGAAGGGTTTCTAGAATATTCCTTGCTACTGATCAATCTAAAGTATAAAATTCGAACTGGTGTTTGAGGTACTACATAATCTCAAGTGACCAGTAAGTATTATTTGTCTTTAATTTTCAAAAGAATAGTGAGAGTCAAAATAAAACTGCACCTGCAGTCAATATTCCCAAAGTCAGTGGTAGACAATGACCCTAACACTACCACAGACTGCTTAGCACTTTGCCTGTACATGTACTCCAGAATTCAATGTTTAAGAATTTCCTTACTATCAAACCTAACTGCTACAGTGGTCTGGGGTCTCACGTCTATCATCTAGCCCTCATCCTAAACTTTAACCAGTTTGTCATTGAAGTCAGTGACTAAGGGAAGTCATAGTACCAGCCGTACAGTTTTTGACATGGATTAAACTGCCAGGAATTTTAGAATCTAGCCCATTCGTAACCCCAAATATCTTTAAATGGAATTTGGTAAGGTTCACAACTGCAAAACCAAAGTGCATGTCTCCATCATGAAATATGTCAACTAACATACTGGTCCCAGATATTCAAATGTTGGATAGCACTATCCACTGGAAAAATCATTATGCAAAAGATAAAATATTAGGAAAATCAATATTGCTCTACATTCCTCTGGATAGCCATTTATCCAGTGGATTGAGCAATATTTATCTACATTTTCAAATGGGGCCTGGAAATTACCTGTGGAATTGCTTTTTTAGTCGTCTGTCACTCTGTATAGCTTGTTCAGCGTACTGAGTAAATGGACAAGGAAAAGGTAGGATAGAATCCAGATCATAAATGAGACTCTTCTCCTCCACTTTTCGTAGTAAAAGAACATGATAATCCTAAAAATCCAACATTATCTGAAATGAGTCCATTATTTTCTTCTTACCTGCATGATTTCATTAGACTACTAATAAGTGTTCATAACCAAATGTGGCATGAATATATTTTTTCCAGAAAAAGAAATAAGCACTACAGTTACAGCTGCGTGACAACTTCATTTGCGCTCTGAGTGTGTTAATAATTATTATTATGGTGAAAGAAACGAAAGATGGTAAATTTTAAGCTCAGTGAAACAAATGTGAAAATAACATGATCAGCATGTTGCAAGCATTGAGAATCCTGTCGGGGACTCAGATTTTTTCTTTGTCCCACACTCGTGACATGCTGATCATATTATTTTCACATTTGTTTCACCGAGCTTAAAATTTACCATCTTTCATTTCCTTCACCACCCATTGCGACATCGACATCGCTGATCCTAGCAGTATGCAGGACGCATGTCAAATATGAACCTAGTGTATGGCCTTGCTCTCCATGCGTTCTATGTAGCTCAGGAGTGCCCGCCTGGGGTCTGGGAGGTCATAGGTTCGAATTCGGCTGACCATTCAGATTTTTTCCTTGTCTCATGCTCGTGACACACTGATCATATTATTTTCACAATATTATTATTATTATGTTGCTGTTCACTTTTATATTTTCAATATTTGTTTTCTTGGTTAAAAGTTAAAATAACATTTGAACCATGGATAAGACAAGATTATTTTTAGCAGAATTGCTATAGCTAGAGCCCACAGGGTTCTATTTGACAACTTACCCATACTACTGGAGCTAATGGTTCTTTTGCTGATTTTTGCATCCATAAAGGAACCTGTATTACACCAAGTAAGTACACTAACTTGTTAATTATAACAAGGAAAGAGATAACTAGAGGGTACTTGTAGCAACTGTTATGATCAATGATTAATACTGACAAAGAGACACTGATCTACTTGTCATCAAATCTTTATCTTCCTGTCAAACAGTCGAAATCCATTAAGATGACTGTTACAGGTCAAAATCATATTCAGGTTAAACCTTTTTAACCTAGGTTGATTCTCAGTTTTCTTTGTCTCCTTAAGCCCTAATTATTTATAACATAGGAACTTGGGAATCAACCTTCTTTGTCAAAAGTGTTGGGAAGGTTGCTTTTTTAACCCCTTTTTTTCCTTCTTCCCCCCTCCCCGGCCCTGACCCGTTGTTCAGCAAAACATTAATGTCTGCGCGCGTAATTGTTCTGTTATATCCCAACATTGAATAGGGGCGGGGGGGCGGGGGAAGGGGGATATTTAGCGAACAAGAAAACTCTCTTTTTTGAGGATTAAAATGGACTGCTGTTAAGTTGTTTTGTCATAAATGATAATCCATGATCAGTTTCTTCATGACTAGCACTTTACAGAAGCTGTAATAAAAATGGTGGCTTAAGAACTAACTATGGCAGTCAAATTGGGAGGCCCACCACATATCTTAAGCTTTACAGGGACAGCTAGAGTGAGAGAAGTGAATTAGAAAGAAATAGGTGCATATGATTTCAAGCGAATGTTGAAGCATCAGATCTCACCAACTTTAGGAAGACCATAAAAATGAACTTATTTACACACAGGTTGCCAAAATTAATTCCTTACTTTTACTACATTATTTTAGGAGGGTCGTACAGAGGTATTCCCGTGATGCGTGATTGGCTGATTTATTTTCCGTGAAACGTGAATTTAACAAATTATTCTTCGTGATCCGTTATCTGAAGGTTTTGCGTGACTCGTGAAGAACTTGAATTATTAACCGTTATTCGTGATTTCACCACTCTATTTGGCGTGATTTTGAGATGCGAGTGCTCCGGAAGACTTATTTTAAGACTGAAAACATCAAATGTGACAAGTAACAGACTTCGCTTTAATTAAAGTAATCCACGGTGCAAATTCACGTGCTTTACATGCCTATCATGGATCAGATGTCTATTCCTATGCCTAATCCTATGGTCTCCTATGTCACTGGAGGTCAAAGGACAGTGATCCAAAACATTGAAACATCCGAGACATGGAGGGGACGAGTACGTATAGTACGATGAGGGTCGAATGTATTGTATTTTACGTTGACCCAAAGTCTGTCGGCTCGCTTAATTTTCTTGGAAAGGAACGAGTTCGCTTTCCAATTACAGATGAACATTCATCTTTGGCAGTGTTTACTAAAAAGTTCGCGGAATTTGCCGGATTAAAGGCAGAGGCTGAGAAACGTGGCCTCTGCCCCTGTGTTGAAGTTAAATATTTTGTCGTCTCGAAAAGGGAAAAGATGGCAGTAAGGCCTTTGCGATAAATACACAAGAGCAATGGGACGAGGAGAGGCCGCTACTATCAGGAAATACATCTTCATTACAAGGTAGGAATTTATTTACTTCTTATTAAACGACATCAAGGACCGTTCTGAAAGATACGGGCCGACTTTTCTATAGGTTAATAAGTAATCAAGGTTAAAAGAAGAACAATAGAATACGGCGACTATGTCAGGATGACGATGGTAGTACAAAGTTAACTTAGAAATTAAACGTGTAGTACCCTGGAGTGCCTACTACTTCACACATGATAAATCATATTATCCCGTGTTGCGCCAGAGCACTCCACTAAATGCCATTCCGAAGCTGGAGCATCTTAAGGCAAGAAGGGAGTTAAATAGGCAGGAAAAAGACCTCATGATTAAGTGGGCGACAAATAATGGGAGGGCTGCACGACAGAGAAGTGTGAGACAAGAGACTACCATGTTGAAGGCTGGAACATTGCCGTTAAACATGTACAGAACATCAGACTATCCTAAAGATAAAGTCTCATTCAGCCCTAACACTGTCAAAGAGGAGACTGTTCCTTCTGCTTTTACGACTGTTACGCCTTCTACATCTCACGAGGCCATTGAAGATGTTCAAGTAGTAGAGGAAGCCGAGGTAGAAGAGGAGGAAGAGTATGACACTGACTCAGACGCTGAATATCCTATCGCTGACAATTACGAGGTAGATTCTTTAGACGATTTGTTGTTTCTTCGGGCAGTTACAACGCGAAGTGGACGAATGGTCAGAGTCGTCCATCGAGAGTGATTTAGGTATGTGATTTCCGATAAGCAGCCTTTACTTAACCTTTAACGATTTTGCTTTCTTCAAACACTCTTTCTGCTGTAAGAGAAGGTTATTAAAACGAGTACCTTACTTGTTTATTTTCGTGATTCGGGAAAATGAAATTTTGATAGCCGTGATCCGTGATTCGCTGTTTTTTCTGTTCGTGAACCGTGCGAGAGACCCCCCCTGTACGACCCTCTTTTAGTTACCAATTAAATGGCCATCAAAATACATAATAACCAGATGTTCAATTTATTACATAACAAAATTTAAGGGCTTTTTGCTGGCAACAAATCAAAGTACCTGTAATAAAAAAGTGGCCAAATAAAATGGTATGTATACTAGTTGAGTTCCACTGTATCAAAAAAACATACCTGTCTCTTATCATTTGAAATGAAAACTGCATAATATTCATTCAGGCTTTGCTCTTTTTCCTCCTTTATCTGCTCACATAATTTCCACACATTTTCTTCACTGAAAAAAGAAAACCACCCCACAGTTGTCAAAAATCATGACATATTGTATTATTGTCTTTTTGCACATACAAAGGTAGAAAAAAAACTAAGCTAACAACCTGCAAAAACCTAAGGTTCTTGGTTGGAATGGAAAAGCATAATTCATGAAAATAAAGTGAAAATATATCTGCATTTTTGAGAAATAAGCCCACAATTTCTGAAAATGCTAACCTTGCTGGGAGTGCTGGATGCACTGAAAATCGAAAGGAAAACAAGGTTGGAAAAAAGGAAGACAAACCCTTTTATTTACACTAGAAGCTGCCTACTGTGAGTATCATTGGACCTTGAAAAAAGCAGCTAAAAGTTTGCTATTTTACAAAGAACAGCCCCTCATTAAAGTGAACAAAACAAACAGAGACAAAACTGCCTTCCATTCAGCAGTTTGGTCAGTTTGTCAGTTTTAGTCTGCAGATGCATGCACTGTGAACTGCTTTGACTTTCAAAAGCTGAAATGCATTGTGGGACACCATTTTAAAAATTGGGGATGAACCATGACCAACAACAACACTAGTGCCAAGCATGTGTTTCACTCACATGACACAAGGTGACCTCGCTGCACCTTTTTGAAAATTTGTCATACAGAAAGAATGCAAAAGCATCAAAAAACATATTTCTATAAGTAGTTATATCGGATAAGTTTTAACTGTAGAATCCATTGGTAAAAGTCGTCAGGAAAAAAATTTGTCAGAAGCACTTTTTAATAGTTTCACTTTGCCGCGCTCGGACTTGGCCTAAAACATATATCGACTATTGCACTATTCGCAGGCCTAGAAACAAGCTTTAACGTTCTCTCTCTTTACCTATGAATTCATAACTCCTTTTCGGAAGGGAATTGGGATTATAAAAACTTGAACTTGTGAAGGCAAAAAAACAGTGAAAGTTAATTTCGGTGCGATCGTAAAAACATCTTTTAAAAAACCTTGAAATACTGATTTACAACAACGATAATTTTCCTTAAAATTTCCAATGCACGTTACTTATTGAATAATCTGTTTACTCCATAGAAATAAAATTTTTGCAAATTCAAAGAAAAGGTTTGTGTTTTAAGGTCAATAAAACTTGTAATGTACCAATTCTATAAACCGGATCACAGCCCGGGAAAACCCCGCGAAAGAAGTGCCCACCAATACTATTGAAAAACCGAAAAAAATTCAGATCATCTTCTTAAATAATGTTCGGTAAGGCAAATATCAGGAAGACCCAACTGCCCTACAAAACTTGAAAAAGCCAAGTTTTTGTAATGTACAAATTTCGCACGACATAACGGATCAAAATGCTTTTGCACTTTTCAGACATCTGCACTTGTAAATTCTCCTTTTGCGCCGTAAGATGTGCATATTATACCACACTAGGGTATGTGAGTAGGACATTTACGTATAAAGATAGTCACATACCAGTAACAGCTCGTATAGACGCATGTAGACGGTGAAATTTCTCCTTTAACTTCCACTGAAGTTTTTGCCTGCATGGCCGGCCATTGAAAACAAAACCTGAAAGGCTTGAAGCAGGCATGGAAACGAGGCCTGTGGCTGCGACCGCTGATTAACTGTACTGGCAGCTACAAAAACAACATGGCGGACGAAAAGAGTGTCTTTGTCACTGTTGGAACAACAAGCTTTGACCGACTAATTGAAACCGTTTCCAGCAAGCCTTTGATTGAGGTAAATTATAAAACGTCTTTCTCTCTGTAGAGCTACAACAGAACACAGGGCCATCTGATAAAGGTCTTAAACAGAAGTAGCTCTGTGGCTCGCCAGTGTCCTTTTAATACCTACAGTACACTTCGTCTTAATTCGATTCATTGCTGCAGACATAATTATATTTTTTTTTTCATTCTACAGGTTTTAGAAAATTTAGGATACCGAAGTGTTATTCTTCAAATAGGAAGAGGGGTTTACGAGCCCGAGATAATAAAAAGAAACAATTTCTCCTTGACATACTACAGATATAAAGGTTCAATCGCTGCTGATATCCAAAGAGCATCGCTTGTGATCAGCCACGCTGGTAAGTTGAACTCTTTTTTAATGGTATCTACCCTTACAATTAACACAATAAAACCTAATTTAGTTGTAGAAAAGCTTACTTATTAAAGCTTATATATAAGATTTAGCTTACTAGAAACCTTGAAAAAGTATTCTTATTGTTGAGTTAATACTTGTGCACATATACATCGAGGGGTGAATTATAATTTAACTTACACGTGGCATGCTTAGAGAGGTTTAAACAACTGTGTGCTATTTACTGTTTTAAAGTTACTAATAAGAATAATAAGATTTAATAATTATTACTTATTTGTTTTCTTGTTTTGGAACTTACATGAGATCAGCGGCGAAATTTTGAGTGCCATGATTTTCTCCGAGCAGAAGCACAGAATGATGTTTAAATTGAAATTTATAAGTAATGTCATCCATTCGTACATGAGCCAAAAAATTAAAAAAAGGACTTAAGGACAGTGAAATCATGCTGCTTGTGTTTTCTCCACACCAGGGATGCATTCACATCAGTGTCACAACAGTGAATCATGGATTGTTTGTAACTGTTTTTCTTAGGGGCTGGAAGTGTTTTAGAGACTCTGCAAGCAGGACGACCACTTATTGTAGTGATCAATGAACACTTGATGGACAATCATCAGTTAGAGTTAGCAAGTCAACTTGCTGAGGATGGCCACTTGTACTATGCTACTTGCAGGTGTGTAAGATATTGGCAAAACTGTTCTTCAGCAATGTTAGGGAAATTGTCTTGTACTGAGCATATTTCTTTGACGTTTTTCTCATAAACACAATTTGCTAGTAAAGATAATGATAAAATTGATGCAACACAACAAATTTCCAAATGCTCATTGCATATGCAAAAATGCAGGAGACTAGCTTGCCAGTTCCAAGGTACGGGCCTGTTTAAAAGGCCATTTGCCTTAAGCCTCATTTTAAAAGTGATAGTTTCTGAAACTCAGGAATGGCCTATTTAGCTCTGATCAGGCAAAGTTATGTGGAAAAATTTACATGCACAAAAAGTAGTTAATTAATCAGTTTTTATAAGGAATAATTGTTAAATAAACATGTGGTATATTTAGTGATATTTTCACTCTTTATTTTTCAGCACACTGCAGGATACCATCACGGAAAAAGATCTCGCACAGCTAAAACCATTTCCTCCTGGGAAGCCTGAACTTTTTTCTGCTTTTTTAGACAGAGCAATGGGCTTCCATTCATAGCAAAGAAACTTGGTGCGTTCATCGTTGATTTTATGACAGAATCCATCGTTTGATGAGTTAGGGATTTACAAGACCCGACATGCCTTCAAAAGAATGTTTTTTGCTCCATTGGAAGCACTCGCAGAAACTGACAGCTTGTTCAGCAGAAAGTTTTGGTAAAGACGTCTTGGGCTTAAACGCTATAGCTTTCAAGGGTATACAATGTGTGTACTTCCTGAGAAAACCTATTCGTAATCACCTAGTCAAACCATGAAAATTTTATGCGTCACAGCAACCAGTTAATAGGCTTTAATACGTGCTCAACTTGTCTACAATTTTGGTAGACTGGGAGCAGTCTCTCGTTTATCTCCGAATTAGTCGTGTGGTGTTGCAAGTGCAATCGGTGAAGCTTCGAGAAGCAAGAAGGGAGTACAAGAATCTCATACGGGGCCATCTCGAAAGCGTTTCTTTCTACGAACTGCAAGGTCGTTTCGCCCGACGGCAGTGCGCCCGGACTTGAGTCGATTCGCCCGATGTTTATTTGTCATTTTCCAAGCCTCAAAAAAGGAATAAGCTTGAATGATAGTGACTGCACTTGTGGATCAACAGCTGTAAGTGAAAAGTTTCACAAGTATATCAAAGATCGACATAGCGATCGTTACGATCCCTGAGGTACATGCAGACGTTAGTTTTATGGACAGTCACTTTCAGTTTCTAGAATGGGACTATCGAAATCGCTACGATCGTTCAGATCGCTGGACCTTTTTTAGCAATCGCAACAATAGAATCAAAGCTTCACTAACAGCATCTCTGATATAAAGCCGTGTTGCGTGCCAAAGAATAGGCATGGTAACCAAACGAAGTTAGCGAGTTATATTTTACATAAAAAAACCTTTGGACAACTGCTTCAAATCTAGCCAGGGTGGAAGGCATTTACAGGAAAGGGCCAATTAAGACACGCGAGGCTAACGCGTTCGCGGGCGCCGTAAATTTTCTTTTTCCTTTTCCTTCAAACATGCGCAACACAGGTTTCTTTAAATCAGGAATTTTGATCTGTTGGTATGGATCGTTAATTCTCAACGGGTTTTTTAAATTGATTTTTGTCACGGCTTATCTGTTTAAAACCCAAATAATTTTGTAATGGTCCAGATAAGAAGGAAAGGACCAAAACGCAGTGAACACGTCGGAATGCAAAAAGGTGCTAACTTTACTATTGTCTCTACTAAGGTTCTGATTGGTTTAAACATCAAATTTTACCAAATCTTCGCAAAGCAGCGTGTACATTAATCCCTTTTTTTCTATCCAACTTCCTTATAACAAAATCTCGTCCGAGTCTAAGTAACACAGAAATCGTATGTGCGGATCATGTAAAATTGTGAACATTTCTTGGCCATTGTTTGCAGCTCTTGTGATTGGTCGAAATGTTTTAACACAAAAATACACCCTTTAAAAGTGGAGTTTAAATACATTTTCTTTCGTAAACAGCCTTTTTGTAAATTTATGCACTCACTGCGAAAAATGAAAACATTTCTATGTGAGGAAAGCGTATTGCGCCACAACAAAAGAAATTGCTTCCCTTCTTACCTGGATCATTACTTAACTCTCAACTAAAATTCTGTTGATGCCGTTTACGTCTATCGTGATGAGACGAAGATGAAACAACCCAAATATGAAGGTACTTGTGTCGCCCAGGGGTCCTTTTTACCCAATACCCTAAAGTAGTGTAAGATAAATAAAAGTCTACAAACTCACAAAGTATTGCTGCTTTGATTACTTTACATATGCATTAGCATGCAAAGAAATAGCAATTTGGATCATTTTATTTATTCATAGACTAAGGGGGATACAGAATTCGTTAAGTGTTGTTGTTGTTGTTGTTTAATAATTTAAATCATGAGATCCCCGTGAGAAGAAAGTTAGACCTAGGCCAAACGTTGAACTTTCTCATGAGACGAACCAAACTCTAATTTGGGTCGACCTAAATTAAGTTTAGATCGTCTTCTGGGTCAGAAGTCGAATTTAGGACGCGTCGAACCAATCAACTAAATCAGACCAAAAATAAATTTTAGTAAATTTTCTCCCGGACAAGGCTAAATATACATTATCATTCAAATTTTCAATTTCTTAGTTTGGTTCGTTGCATGTGAGGATCGACGTTTGTCTCGGAAACGATCCTCAAACGTTCTATCCGTCTGAAGCAGACGGATAGAACGTGTTGGACGATCCAGACTCCTTCAGGCGAACGTAACTGTGCCAGACGTCGAACTTTTCATGAACTTAACTCAACTCGCATGCTTCCTCACCGAAAAAAAAATATGGCGTCAGTTCTGCAGGGTATAAAATTTGCTCGGGATAACGTATCCGGCGACTAACACCCTAATTTGATACTCTCGTTTCCGGTATAAGTGTCCTTCATTTGAACAGAAAACCGAATATGAACATTGTGAACAACCTAGTCATAATGATGACTTGACCACTTGCTTCAATTCCTGGACCTGTGTTACAGTTGTCACCGCTGCAGCAAGCTGTTTTGCAGGTAACATCATGAAACCCAGAATCCTTTAGTTTCTTGCACATTAGATCCTCGTTCTCCGAGCACTGTTTGGCAGTAGTGCAGCCCTTGCCAGACATCTTAACTTGCTGTGCATTTATGCTGTAAGAAATTTCCCCTTTAAAGCATCGGTTAAATCCTAGTGGACATGTTAGATCTTGGTTTGATGTGCACTGGACATCCAAGGAGCTGATGCAGTAATTACACTTTAAGGCAAAAGCTATTAAGAAAAAAAAATAGGAGTTTGCACAACATAAAGGTAAAGATGAGATGGATCGAGATAGGTTTCTGGGAAACTGCCCACCTACCCTCCCCTAAACTAACATTAACACTTAGTTCTCACTTAGGGCAAAATGTTGGCTTAGGGTAGGAGCAGGTAGGCAGTTTCTTAGAAACCTAAGTTGATCCGATGAAAGTACCCTTGTATGAAAGTCTCAAAGTTGCTGAAATCCCGATTTAGTTAACTGAGCATGTTTACTGCTTTTGTAAGCACAGTCCGCCATTTGTATCAACCAATTAAAAGAAATGAGGGTCGAGGGGCTTTCTTGTCAAGGTGACACTTAAAAAAAGATAAAGCGAGAAAGAAAAAACAGCTGGTGGCATGTATAATTCTTGTCAGGGAGACAGTGCGCGCCGACAGAGATATCATATAAATACTGCCCTGATACTGCTCAACAAAAAATGCATCATTTCTCCTTAATGTATTTGCGAGAAAGCGCCAGATTACTGAGTAACTATGCTTTTGACCATTTCAATTTCTTTTTTTTCCCAGTTAAGTTTTCTTCTGACCCCCTTGAATTACTAACGTTTAGATATTTACAGAAAGGTCAGCTACGGCTAAGTAGAAAACATTGTTTTTTTGACTGAGCTATCATCATTTATAATTCTTCTATAATGGCCACACTGGGACAGTTTTTCGGTGACGAGAGAAAAATATATTTGATCTAGTACCTGTTTTTCCTGGTTCGTTAAAGTGGCATTATTGTTTCCTCTTTCCCCCGTTTTTCACTTAAAAGCATCGAACTTAAAGATCAAATTTTGCTGGTTTTACAATTTACTTATAAAATAAATCAGACTAGTGATCAATGATCTTAACCTGTACCATGCAGGCATCATTTTAAAGATAGATTATAGTTCCAGGCACGAAATCATTACTGAAGAGAGTGTTTTCGATCGATCCCCCGAAACGCTTACTTTAGCGTCCACACCACTTTTTTAGCTGTATATACTGAGTTTTCTGTACAGTTAAAAGCTGTTAAACTTAGAAACTTTGCAAGTACACCCAGCATATATTTACGTTACCTAGTTTAACCAGGCCGGGAAATCGGGTAGTATATATTATCAGAATGCCGGACCCAAAAGTGCGTCTGGTTCAGTACAAGTTTTTAGAAAGTTAAATGATTATACTTACCAGATGAAATAAAAAAGACGAAAAGCAAAATTTCAGTTGACTTTGCTTTATCCATTGCAGAGCAGCGCCAATTCTGTTTGCTGAATATTCCCTCCTTGTTCATCAGTTTCTCGTAACATGCTTAATAATATCTTCTTTTTTTAACAAAAATTTAATTGTATAATAATTGGCTTTAAAAAAGGTAGAATTAGCATTTGTGGAAAAACGTGACAAAAAGCTAGAGAGTTTGTGGGAACAAAACGGGCTAGTACACATGGTAGCGATCGAAATTTCGGGTAATTCTGTGACTAAATGTTCCGCACTTTGCGCTACAAGCAACAACTATCATGCATTTAAACACTGGAATACAATAATTGCAACTGAGCCGGTCAAGAGATTAACAACAAGACTAGACGCTGGATTTCAATCACAAAATCAAAAACTATATCATTTAATCACTGGTAGTGCATTATGTTTGTCTATAGCTCTTTAACTTCACTTAGGTGCTAATTATTTCATCTCATTTCTTGAACGCTCTGTTTAAACCTCTATAAATGAAAACTATATAGAGCGTTTTCACTCACGTGGCCAGTATCTAACAGTATGCAAATGTATGGAACAAAAGAACTCGTTTGCATAAGAAAAGAGTTCAACTCCCACAGGACTGGTTTGGGACACCAACATGGCCGCCGTTTCATTGTTTTGGACCATAATATGGCCGCCGTGACGTCATGTGAAAACGCGCTATACACAGGAAATGAGTTACAGGCTACGTTGAAACGTGGAGAGAAGAGAGACGCGGGAGGCTCTCCCCGTCCCTGTATTTGCATTTACCCCTCCCCGATCACTCATGATTTCCTGTCTTCTCTTCGCCCTATATACCCCAATGGAAAGCCTTTTCATAGGCTAACACACCGAGAGCGCAAGCCTTAGAAGCGGCAAAGTACATAAGGGAGCTCTAGCAACATTAACGACAGAAGCGATAAAAGACTTCGCGTTTGTGATTATTCCAACTCGCTTAAAATTTCATAGATAGGTGAATCTGAATTATTGGGAACCGAACCCAAGTTTAGAAGGAGAAAAAAAATTCTTCCTCGTGTGTTTGCATCTTCCATAACTGAAACATTGCATAAGAGAACCTGATTCCACGGAAGTCGTGGTCCTGTAGTGACGGAAAGAAATGAACAAAAACATTTTGCTGCACATATGCAAGGATTTTGTTTGTCTTTTCAAACCTATTGCTTTTTCACCTTGTTTCGTTGCCGTCACCGTTGCTAAAGCTCCCTATCAACTTTCGCATAACGGACACAAAAAGTGTAGCCTGTTCACAGACCCTCTATTTTCTCTTACAAATCAGGCGAGCGTGCGTCTTAAAAATAAAAACAGCGAGGGATTTATTGACTGCCAGTGCAAGGGGGTAGGGGGTGGGGGAAAAAGAAAATAAACGTTCTATATTTTTCTTTCTTGCCCTTCGCTATGTTACCAACGTAACGGCCTCTATTGTTACTCCCGGAGGACACATTACGGTCGAATTCAAGTATACCTGTGTCAAAGAAAACGTGGTGTGTGCGATTAAGGTGATTCCCTGGTTTTGCACTGCGCATAACAAGATGGCCACCGTAAAAAAGAGCATGTGAAGTAACATTATTAAAATGAAGTTGACTGAAGAGAAACGCTATTGGAATTTTTGCTTGCGGTTGTTTCTTGCCGAGGTGAGACTCAATGTGTTGGGAATGTGCATAACGTAGGGAGTACGCGTGTTGCTGAGTTCGACTTCCTCACGGAGAACCTCGATAGTGGATGTTTAACTTGTGCTTACTCACTTTGATTTTTATTTAAACGCTTTCTTCATCACATTGTATCCTAAATGTCATATCTCGATGTAAATTCTGTAAAAACAGATTTTTTAATACTTTCTTCCCCCTTTCACATACACTCTATTTTGAAACTCGCCCCAGTCCTCTCTCAAAACTCGGAGAAAATGCATTTGGTGCACACTTTCTGCAGCTCTACCGCAAAAACGAGTACGGTGACCCCCATTTTTTCTTTCATGAATTTAATAAGGACAGTGCTTCCTTTCGATGAGAAAAAAATTGGCACAAATCTATGTTCAGTTTTTTGGCAATTTTACTAAATTGTACGGATTGAGCTATCACGGGTCGAATAGCGCGTGTCCAGTTCAATTCTACTTTGGAGCGTAAAATAGAAACAGGAGCATTAAAAGGTATTTTTCTGGTATGTAAGTAGATAAACAATTCTCGGCTTGCACTGTCACGCAATGAAAAATAAAAATGCAAACCATTCAATACAGAAGGTCTAGAATCTGGGAAATGAAACAAGATAAATATACAAAAACCCTTGCCAAGAATCAGGTCTGTGAAATATTTCAACTGCGAGATACTGGGAAAACCGGTTTACCTAAATTTATAAAGCTTTGTATGGAAACGCCATGTTGGTGTCCCTTTCAGGAACACCAATATGGGCGCCGGATACCAACAGAAACATCTGTTTTCGAGTTTTCCTACTAATGCCTGAATTCTTCGCTTGAGGAGCTCATAAAGATTACAGTAATATTTATTCTCAGACAAGGAATGTTTAGATTGCAAAATCTCCCAAAATCGGTAATGCTTTTAACCCAAATAAGAGCTTTCCCAGGCGCCAGCTAAATGCCGCGTCACGCAAAAGCCTGGAAATTCAAGCGTCCTCTCGCAAAACGAAGAACCCTTTCGAACCAAAAATTTGTTTATGTAAAGATGTTTAGGTACCGTAATACCTCGTGACAGTAGAAACTCAGAAGAACCGATAGTTTCTTAGTTTCATTTTTGGTGACGTCACGTGCAACCCAAGAATACAATAAAGTCAAATTCTGTGCGATACCACATGCATCATCGAAAAAAATCTCTCGTTTTTGTCTAGTTTTGGGCTACGCACGGTTTTTGACAAAGGGTCCAAAATAGCCGTATTTCTCAGCATTGTGACGTCAAAACGAGCACGGTGACCCCCACTTTTTATTACTTTTTTATCATCTTCTTGACTTGTTACATCAGTGCATCAGTGTACCAAGTTTCATCTACAATCTATGTTAGGTTCTTTTACTAGGGAATCACCTTAAATGCCGTACCTGCAACAAAGCGTACATCGGAAAGACTGGAAGACGCTTAGGTGACCGACTTCGAGAACGTATACACTTCACTCGACTACCTGACACCGACCTTCCCGTTGGTCGCCACTTTACATCCCCTGGTCACAGAATCGGCGACATGTTGGTATCGGGTATTCGTTTTGGCTTCAGAAGTACAAAAGAAAGGCGCAGTTTTGAGGCCAGCGTGATGTTCAGACACCAGATACTTGAACCAGCCTGAATGTGATACTTGAACCTGAATGTGCACTTCAACTTTATTTGAACTTCTCAAAGTCAGCGCGCACATGTAACGTTACTCTTTGTTTTGATTTTTATTTAAACGTTACATTGCGTGTGTTTTTTGAGTTGTCTTAAAGTACTGAGCCTGGGAGCACCCTTGAAACGTCTGGTTTTTCGTACGTTTTTCGTCCCTTTTCAACGCACATTTTTATAAACTTTGTAAAAATCAATCGATCATTTGCATTATACAGTATGTACCGTCCAATTTTTAAAACCGTCTGTAATAATCCGCAACAAATTGAGTTTGTTCGTTATTTGGGAGCCAAAGTAAAACAATTAATACAGCAGATCAATGTTTTTAACATCTAGTTGCATACTGTACACTGAAAAGTTAAATAACATGTATATATTTCAACCACATGTACACAACGCCCTTTTTTCTAATCTGAGAACCAATAGGCTATTTCCGAGTTCCCCCGGGCCTCTGTTTCAAAACGAGGGTAACTGCGCGGCCTTTGATATAGAAATCATTTTTCATTCTCATGCAAATAAACTCATTTTCACAAGAAAGGTTGTACACCTAGCCTCATTTTGAAAGTGAGAGTTTTTGGAACTCGGAAGTGGCCTGTTAGTATCAAGTATAATGAAGTAGATAAACCGCAATAAAAACTACAGCTAACCGGAAACAAACCACAAGAGTTGTTTCAAACTCAAGGACTATTAGACCCCGATTTCTCGACAATACCGCGCTGAACAAACAGTTTATAAAGCTCTCTTTCTAAAGCTTCATTAGTTCCTTTAAGCCCTTCAACAACTTTATGCGCCCAGTGGAAGTACTCAGTAACTCTCTCTTTCGTCCAACCTTCTGGTGTAACCCGATTGAGGTCTCTTAAATTATACAGTTTGTCACCAAGTTTCACCAGTTTGGCTTTATGGCTGAAATGAATATTAAGTGAAAAGACTTTGTTTAATTTATAATACTTGCAAATAATTATGAGTTTCTTAAATTACTAAAGGTTACGTTAACACTGCATAAATGACTGATTTGTAAGCATAGTCTTGAATAGGATGACTAAAGCACCAAGCACCCTAAAGACAATGAAACTGCAGCCTCAGTCTACAGTCCTATTCTTAAAAAATACAATTTTTAGCAACAGTTTAAATACCATGAAGATAATATCTGCAGGGAGAGGAGGATTTAATTTGCACATATTCAAGTTTGACCAAACATCATGTAACTTAAACCCAAACTCCTTATCCTAAAAGGTCATGTTACACCCACACCTACAGATGTAAATTAAGCCCATCTTTCTGGGAGTGTTCTTTCCCTTTCTTATCACAAAAGTGGTTTGACCTAAGAACCAAAGTGGCTTAAAATCTGACCTGTATCCACATGTGGGCTGAGTGGAATTTATTAGCACAGGAACTCAGGCTAGTTACAATATTATTTGCTTTATGCTAGATAAATGAACGAGTTTTTCCTAATTGTTTTTCACAGACAGAAAAATCCTCATGATCTATTCGGTAAGATATAGTACGTCACATAAAAAAAGTCTGCATATAAACTGACTGGTTCATTGAAGAAAACATGATATACCACCACTTATGGTGCACTTAGGAGGAAAGAGCAAACACCCAGAAATCAGTCTGCATTTGCAGGCCAGCCACCACAAACACCTGCTTTAAATTAACTTCAGAATGTTATACAAACTTTGGAACAAAATTCCTACAAACCTGCAACTTTTTGCATGCACTATCTGAAGCCTCTTACGTTCCATTTTTGGCAGAGTTTTATCATCTGTCACTTCACTCACAATGTGTCGCACTTCAGGGCCAAATTTGGATTCTATTTCATCAAGAGTGGTATTGGTGTCTTCAACAGTATCATGAAGAATGGCTCCCTTATCAACAAAATAGCGTACAAATATAACAAAAAAGAACATTAAAATCCCACTTTAGCTATTTTGTCATAAGATCAGAGTGCAAAGAAAGTTGTGTTCGATAGCCCGATGCTAGTGGATTTTGCTATCACAGCAAAAAAATCTGTTCTTCACTTGTCCAACAGGCAAGTGAATTTTTTGAGGAATTCAAATTATAGAAGAACAGTAGTCAATCCTGGTCATCAAAACATTTTTTTAAGAAAGCCAGAAGGGCAAGATTAATAACTGACTTTCTTTGCACCCTAAAGAGTGCTATGTTTTTGTGAGTAAAAATCTAGTTTTCGTTGATTTCTAGAATAGCTTTGTAGATTCGAGCAGCATACAAGATGTATTTCACACATGAACATAGTTAATGGCCCACAACAAGTTCCTAGGTCACAGTCAGTGGTTTGAGAGCAGGGTTGTCACAAAGATTTCAAGGTGCTGGGTAAATACAACAAGTAGGCGGGGAATCAAACAGCTATGGGTTTCTTTTGGTTATATTTTTCTTCTATTTTCCTTTAAAGTAGCCGGGGGCCTCATTCATAGTACCCGGGAGGGGGGGGGAACCCCAGCCCCCCGTGCATCATGCTTGTTTGTACATTTCTTTGCTGTCACTGCATGGATAAGGGTTGAAAATGCCGAATTTCAAGTTTTACAGAGGAAGTGCACAAGTGACGATGAAATTTCCGCTCAGCTCTTTCTGAACTTGGATATGGTTCTTAGGAATTCAACTTTAGGAGGGTTCACCTACGTTTGACAAAGTTAGTGACCTGGAGTAATCTCGATGAAGAATCAAGATTGAAGGAACGTAAATTCACTTTTTTAGTGACCCTTTCACTGCCATTGTCGTCCTCGGATCTTAAGGTCTCTACTGTGTCACGAGTAACACTCTAACCTTTAGGGAGGGTAAACAGGGATACCAAAAACACTGAGGATTGTTGTCTGGTCCATTCTTATTGAACCAATAACTTTAATGTAAATATGTCTTAGTTTCCTTTCCCCTGCCTCAATTAGTTCCTTAGTTATTTCTTGGTGGGAAAACTATACGTAATTAAATTATTAGCAAATGAGTTTAAATAACATTTGTTGCTTGTTGTTGTTGTTGGGTATGGCAGACCCTCCAACTCTCACAGTTTGGACTGTCAACACACAGTCTCGCGATGTAGCCTCTTAATCTCATGGTGTATCCAAAAATCTTGAAAGTGTCAGACAATGGGAATCGCGTGATTTCAAAAAATCTGTATTCAAAATGGCAAATTGTATCAATTTATTTTGGGGGATCGGGGTCCAATTCCAACCTCATTCCCATGAAACATAGATCAGCTAAGGTCTGTGGCAAAGCCTTAAAGCAAACTCAAATGTCCTATCAGCCTGGATAGTGAAACAGAATCTCAAACTTAATTACTCAGAGATTTCAGAGCCTCAGCTAGACGGGAGCAGCCAAATATCGTACAACATTTAAAAGTGAGTGGAGCAAATTATATCTAATGGGGGAAAGAATACTATGACAAAAATAACCTGCCTTTTTAGTTTTGTTTGACTCATATTTTGTAAACCTCCAGGTTTGAGGTGCCAATCTCCAGGTTTTTTTAGGGCTTCTTTTCAAACACTCCAGATTTGCATGGTTTAGGGTTTGGAAGGTCTGGTAGGGGATACCTAAAACACAGGGATACAAGATCACTGTACGACTTTTGCACCTCACTGCTCGCAGCTCCTCAGCACGTCAAATTCCAAAAACCTCCAACAAGTGTCCAACCTCCCCCAAAATATACATCTATCGACACTTTTAACCTGACAGTTTCCGCAAACTCTCTTCATTTTTGAATCAGCTCGAAACTAATATCAACCAGTTTGCAAACAAACACCAAGCACGTTCAATTTAATTCGATTAGGCGCAGATTAATCAGACAATGAATAGAAAAACCCAGGCTTGTCAAACTGTTAAAACGTTTTCCTATCCAAAAATGTTAGTATTAAGAGATTGGAATGGGCTAAATAGCTAACCTTACATAAAATCATATCCAGTTGCCGGTTTGGCCGCAAGCTCACCTGAAGCACTCGGGAGTCATGAATTCCGCCCTCTTTCCAAAGAATATAAGCTACTCCGATGGGATGATTAATGTATGGAGTTTCCTCGGGGTCTTTTCTTCGCTGGTCCTTATGTTTTATGGCAGCAAATTGGACTGCTTCTAGAATTCGGCCAATTACATTTATTGGGTTGTCCTCTATCAACCCGTCCGCGTCTTCTTCGTCTGCCATTTTGAAACTGATTTCGTGCCCAGTCTCTTCTGATGCGGTTGTTTTCCTTTGACGGGGGGAGGGTGCGGCTACACGTAGGCAACATGTAGGCTTTCAAGGCTTTCGCGTAGGCTATGGGGTTCGACTTCCACTAAGAATGAATGGAATGCAAAGAACACACTTTGATCACGTGCGTTTGGAAATTCTATCACTCGTAATCTGATCTAGCCTCCCAGGCAGGCGATTTTAGGGGAGTTCGTGTTTCTTTAGGGGAGGGACGTAATACGAGCTCCCCTAGAAACGCCTGCATGCAGGGAGGCTAAATCTGATGACGCGTACGCAAAGCACAGCGCTGGAGCAAAAGGGTTTTGACCTTCGATCGTACTCCGTAACCTTTGGTTATTACCAGTTTAGTCCAAAACGTTATTATAATTTTGACCTCCTAAGGCGATTGACATCTTCATATCAATGTACAGTCGAACTACCCTAAATGGAAGGATTTAGGTGTCGCTTACGGAAGGGTACCCTTGGTACCAGAGGTTTTTCTCGCGTGCGGCGGGAATTTTCGGTGTTGGCCGAAGGCCGACACATCTTCGGCCGTAGGCCGAAGCCACGAGCTGCGAAGCCGCGAGAAAAACCCGCTTTTCGCGCGGGTCACTATAAAGACTTGACAGAAACCGGAAACCGGCTAGAAAAGTCTCTGGCACCCAGGGTAACGGAAGGGGTCGCTCACGAGAGTCGAACCACAGGGCGGTCTTCTTTTAGCAATGATCGACAAATTAAAGTTTTGGAAGAAAATTTATTGTATGCAGTTTTTACGTTACAATACCTTAGTTCCGTCTTGTCACTATAAAAAGATTTTCGTAAACTCTGAGAAGTAGTTTATTACTTCCCAGTTGTTCAAAAGGTGCCCACTGCCCACTGTATAAATCTCTATTCAGCGGGCGGATAACGCAACAGGTTTCCCTGAAACTTATCCGCTGGATAAGCCGGATATAACCTGCGTAGCAGGCGCTAGGAAATAAATGGGCGCAAGAAAAAACGCGCGCGAGGGAGAGGAAATAAATGGGCGCAAGAAAAAACGCGCACGCCCATTTATTTCCTAGCGCCTGCTACGCAGGCTAAGCCGGATAATGATTTATCGACCGATGTGCAGCTCTTTCTAACATTTGAACAACCAGGCAACAAGCGGTCTCTTCAGAGATCAGGTTAAACTATGGAAAATTTTAAAAATGTCAACTCCCAAAAAATTACTGTCGCTCACCAGAAATAGTCGTTTACTACAACCGGTTGTATTGGATAAGTGGTCGCTTATGGGACGTGGTCGCACATGAAGGTTTGGCTGGTATTCAGTTTTATGTAAGGTAGATTTAGGTGCACAATTGATCTCCTTACTTTTGACACTGGGCCTGGTTCCTGAGTTTAATCCAGGATTGAGTAAAAAATTAAGCAAGGTCATCTTTTTGTCTAAGGCATGTACGAACATACTGTTGTGCCTTTACCTCAAGAAAAAGAAATTATAACACAAAATGTTACTCTAGGCAATGCATAGGAAGGTAAATACAAAAACTGAAACAAAATAGCTCTAATCGGCCTTTCAGGAAACCAAGTGTGAGCCGGCAATGGAGGGCAAACCTATGGTGGCATGCATGGTTAAAACATTGTTCGAAATCGCCTTTATTCTCCCTTTCAATTACTTACAGTCCTTGTATATATAAAGTGTTTTCAAGTCAGACAGGCGTCATATCGTGCACACAACAAAGAAAAAGAAGCTAATGTTATAGGGCAGAACTAAGATCAGTTATTACTCTGGAAAGCAGGGGATTATAATAATATTTAGGGCCTCTTGAGCCCGGGGGAGAAGGCTACTTCTTTATAAGTGGCTAATAGGGATGTGCCGCTGCACGGGGTCGCATTTTCACGACTGGATTGACTAACTGGAGTTTCAACCATTATGTCGCCGAGCACAATAGGGTCGCATTTTCAATGGAGTTACTATAAAAAAAATGGGGTTGCACCTTTTCTGATTTTGGGGTAAGACAGTTCTTCATATTTACGGTTAGCAAACGTATCAGAATATTTGAACTGTAGGCGAAAAGTGAAGTGTTCTTCATTCAATTTAAAGAATGGGTCAATATTTTAAGATGACCTGTTTAAAGGATTGATAAGGTAGACTGTACATAAATAGAAAGTGACTAAGTTGGGATTGCGAAAATTACATATTTGCCCAAAAGTGACTATGATGGGGTCTATAATTGGCCACAAATAAGACTATAATGGGGTAGGGGCTTTGTAGGCCAGCGTCACATAACCAGCAAAAATTAACCCAAGAACGCCCCCATCGGGCTCTTCAATTGCAAAGATCGTATAGATAATATTTTATGGTTTCTTAACTTACTGACTGCCCCAAAAAATTTACTAAGTGATACTACTCACGTTATTTATGGTGGTTAGCTATAAAGCTCATATCTATTTGATCAGCAAACTTTTTACTTCGTCAGTACTATAAATTCATTGCAACTTATTATACTCATATAAATCTGGATAAATTTGTAAAGGGTAGGAGTTACAAACGGACAGCTTTCCCGTTAAGAAAGAATTACACATGCTTCCGTTGATTTACCAGTTTCATGGCTCAGTTCGCTTATATAATTTTAAAAAATATAAACCCTAAATCAATCATAACTTATGGTAACTACTGATTGGGATCATTTCCATGAGGCAAATGATCCCCACTGAGTCATGCGGAATCAGTTAAATATTTCAGATAGAGTATCTACAATTGTAGGTTTATCGGAAGAGATATTCTTCATTTTCCGTGGATTAAATATAGCTTTAGATAATAACGGCACTGCATCGTCCTCGGTCCTTGACCGATATATAACGCATTTCCCGTAATGGAAGATAATTTGCCGAGCACTCAGAAATAAAGTTATAAGATTAGCCTCTGTTTTCAAACGCGTAGAACTCAGTCAAAATGTAAAAACAGGACTATTCCAGCCAAAAGATGCGTGAAGTATGTGGCCTCTACTGACGGCGAAACATTGCAGTGGTCGACGTTACAGCAGTCCACCAAACACCAGTCTCCAAACTCCACACATTGTTCGCCACTGCAAAGATCCTGGTATCCACAACCTTTAGTATAGATATGCTTCTCTGAGTTCTCGATCTTGGTAGCTCTGTGCACTTTGAAACAAACGTCGAATTCTTCGTCCACAGTGGAACAATTAACAAGCATTCGATTCTTCTCGCAGTCTTCCCACGAAACCATAGACTGGCACACGTTACACAGCAAAGCAGAACCTGAAAATGATCATCAATAGCCTTGATGAGCAATTGAGTAAACGAAATAGACAAAAAATAATTTTCGCAGTTCTAACAAAGGAAGGAGGAGTTACTTTCAAACTGAACCCGGATGTGCTGCGTCGGTCGGGAATTTGCTTTATCATCTTAGTTTTTTGCAGTAAAAAGATTATAAAGCGCTCGCATTTGAATTGCCGTTATCACACTGGCAGATTGTCCGTCTGAGAGAGACGGATTATCGGTCTTTGAAATACGTTAAAATTGACGGATGAACAGATGGATAAAGTCACGCGGATTATTCATCAAAAATTAAAACCGTTGCATTTTCAAATCAAGTCGTATTATCCGTCTGGCGCGAATTATCCAATGGATAATAAGTCTCTTGTGTGAAAACGGCCAATTACATGTTAAAACCCGGGAACTTGCATTGCACCAACAAGAAATTAAAAGTTAAGGTTTAAGAACAATGCCCATACTTAGCACCTTTTCAGGTAATTTACTTTAGCAGCTTAGTATATGAATAGTAGTCAATTTCCAGCGCTGTTATCAAATACTGGATACTGAAGCCGAAAGGTGACCAAAATGATGTCATTTTTGGCCTTAAGATAGGCGTGGGGAAGGGAACCTGTGACGAAACGCAACTGCTGCTAGTGTTCAGTAGCTTACGATCTTTAGTTACATAACGCTAGAAACCTTTTGAATGCGTGCTGATAAAACAAATCGTTACCAATTAAGCTTTTCCTTTCTTGGTCAATTTATCAGCGTATATCAACCGCAAACACTGAAAGCCGTACACCCCCAGCCATTTTCCAAATCGGAGCTCTGCGGAAAAGGTCAGTGCCGTAGAAACAGCGCCGGTCGCTTTTTTAATCGTCCTCGCTCCCGTGGCCTTCATTGTTACCGGGTGGTTTAAGCTCCCTGGATATGACAGCGGTATAAGACCGTTCAACTATAGATAAATGTGAATGATTCACGCTCTTTAAATTTTTCCCAGGAGTTTATTTGAATTCTAAGAGACTGGGCCGCACTCGCAAGATAAAGTGAGTAGAATCCAAAAACGGTGTGTAACTGATTTCGTTGTCACGCTTTCAAGCCCCGTATAAAGCCCTTTGTGCAAAGAACTTCAAAGAAATGTACCAAAAGGAGCACCGGGAGTACCCTTTAGAGATTTTTAGTTACTAGCACTGCGGGTTTGTCTCTCTTTCAGATAGTTTATTTTTTGAAGTTATTGCCATCGCTGTAAACCGTGCTTACGACATGGACGGGGAAAAACACGGCATTAATAAGAAAGACGTAACTCAATTGTTCATTATTTCAACTCGTTGAAATATGTGGAATGAATTGCATCACCCCGGCGTATAAATTGTTTTAAAATATTGTCCTCGTGTATTCACTAGATATTTTGTAGGTATGATCCTTTTCACGCTTTTGTGTTTAACTCGCGTACTTTTGCATTAATTATTTTTATCTTTTCCTTCTCAAAATTAAAGCGAACAGTTTCCTTAATTCAAAGCAAACTTAGAGGATGTGTTAAAATAACGTGAAAATGAGTTGTTAAATTGTTTTCGCCGGCTTTTGAAATTCAATTTATCAAATTATCAACAAATCTTTCATAAGCTCAATTTGCCTTATGTTTTGTTAGAGAAATAATACACTGATTTACAAAAGCATGTTATGTGCAATGATCGTGTTGCCTTATTGTGTTTTGCCCACAATGG